CTGCTAATTCCTGCATATTTATACTTTGCCGTACGGTTTATACTTTGTCGTACGGTTTATACTTTGCCGCACATCAGGATTCCAACGAAACAACACAAAACAGCGTGGTTCTATTATGCACGTAATCCGTGTACGCTTGGAAATAGGTTGGCAACACTTAAAGATAAAAATACTATGAGCAGCTGATTGACTATTATAACTACGATTTAACCTGTCATTTCGTGTTTATAGTTTCGGTATTTCTGAACTTTCTGGACTTTTAAACGTTTTTAAAACATTCCTACGATCTTTATAAACAAGAAAATACCTTTAAAGCTTTTTTTAGGCACGGAAACACCACTTCAAATTACAAAAACATACGGAACTATATTCTCAAAACGCGGAGCACATTTCTTGCTGAGGAAAAATAGCGGAGTGATACGGACCACGGGTACTACTTTCTCTAGGGCACCATTTGTGTTGCCAGCTGAACCTAAAAACGTGTTGTATAGTGTTTGAAAGACGAATTATTTATATGCTTTATAGTGACTGTAGGAAAAATATAATGTGTAACACGAGTGAAAAAAGCCTTTGCTGCACTCGAGATCATTCCGCACGAGCCGCAGGCGAGTAAACATTGCTCTCGTGTGCAGCAAAGTGCCACTTTCACCACTAGTTACACAAATAACTATTTCGTAAGTTAAATACTATGTTACAATACTTTGTCATTACAAATTTTATAATTATGCCATAGTTATGTAATAATATACTGACATAGTCATGGAATATGAAATACCTCTCACATAGGCTACTGCCCGTGCGTGAGAAATTCCTCTATCAGTAAATAAATATTCTAAATTAAAAAATATATATGTTTATAAAACATGACATGGTTGTTAATTGGTAATAATTTGGTTGAAAGAAAAAAAAATAATAACTACAATAAAAAATAAAGGTATACAAAATACAGGGAAAGGGAAGACAGTTTCATTATTTGGATTGTTAATCCAAAAAACTAAAAAAACTTGGACTAATAAAATCCAGAAAAAATTCAAAAAGCAGAAACCATTCAAATCGTCAAACTTTGGATTTTTGCTACTAGCCTGTTTGAAGATAGTGGCTTCTTAGAATTTAATGAAGTTGACGTATTAACAATTGTTAACATATTTTGTTTGAATTTTTTGGGGGATTTTTTAATCTAAATCATAATCTGTATGGATAGCTTCGTCATTATGACTATATAGCCTACAGCATATTCAATAAATTCCTACCCTTTTCTTGCCTTATATTATTATTTTTTATTTAGTAAAGACGTCTTCGTCATTTTTGTGAAAACAGGTCAACAACATCAGGGGTTGGTTGTAAGCTGGCATACTATGACTAGAAACCTCAAAATCTTCTTTATTTAGTTGTGCTAGAATACTCTTTTCTATATAGGGAATAAACTATTGCCATATGTCTCATTGAAAGACCTCGACCCAGGACCTATTTCATTTTTCGTTTTGATGCCCCGAGAGAGCAAAAACACCATTCGTAAAACATATATGTAATTGGTATAATTTAAGTAATTTGGTTATAATTCATTTCCATTCTTGCTCCTGAGCTGTAATATTCAATGTGATTTGTGGAGGTTTACATACCTCCGACTAACAGCTCAACTATTTAGTAGGTTGTTTGCACGTTTCGGCTTGTACCCGCCATTGTCAAAACATTGGAACGTTGGAAAAAAATACTTATCATTGTTTACTAATGTCCATAAACTTGTACACACACATACACGAACGAATAAAAAATAGCTTATTCCCTATATGGGAAATTCGCTATGAATAGGCCTACTACAATAAATGCACCTGCAGTCTACAAACTGTTATAGTTTGTTTGCTTATTTTATTTACGGATATGTGTTGGTAAATGTATATTCGTAATAATTTACATAAAAAACTATTTTTTCTTCCCCAAATGGGAATAAATTTAGTCTGCAGGACTGCTGCGGCGGGAGTATTTTGTTGTGTATATAATGTGACAGCAAATCGTTTTAATGGTTTTATAGTGAAATTCTGTTTAGTTTTTGTTATGAATATAAGTTGAATTGGCGTTAATTCATAACTCGCCTCCCGCTCCAAATTCTTGGGTCGCTAGCGGCACGGTAGAAAATTAGTGGGTCGCTAGCGGCACGGGTCGCTTCTGGCACGATCGCTTCTGGCACGACACCCAACCTAGAATCCTAGTTGTGAAGGTGGGATATAAAAAACCAACCCATCCGTCAAAATAAAAACCCAGCTACAGTGGAAGCAATATTTTAAGCTTACTTTTAAACCAATTAAGGATGTAACAGATACCCTGCAAATGGCTCTTGTAGAAAAATGTCTACGCCCTAAAAAATATCACTCAACTGGAAAAATATTTTACTCACAATTTTACCATTGTAAAATGTATCAAGTATGGCACTATGAAACCACAATAAATATTCACCTACTACAGTATAACTGTTAACTATGGCTAGTTTTAAATTTTTTTTTAAACACTGTGTTTTTTTTTTTAAACAGGTGGAAATGCTGCGGTAAAACATCTCTGAGGAAGATAAAACAAGCTAAGCTTAAAGTTGTGTTATGTTGACAGATCAATCCACAACAGGGCTTTTCCAAGAAACTTAATCTTGACAGAATGAAAAGCTTGTCAAGGATAAAGTCAGATTTTGTAAATCTGTCACGAGATGACCGTCCTTCACGATAGGTAATCCTGAAGTTGAGTATACAAGTCTAAAGTCCTGCAGATATTTTTTCATGAAATGGGTAAAAGTAATGCTAAGCTGCACATGTCATATATTTCAGTGATATTTTTGTTAACGGGATTTTTTTGGAAAAATACAGATTTTTCATTGTAGTCGGTATGGAATATCTTAACTACGGAAATTGAGGCTTCCTAATCTCAATTTTGTGAACATTTTTTTAAGAGACACTTAAATTTAACGTTTTTAACTAAAACATATGTCACTTCTGATACCTCTCAAATATCATTTAAACAATTAATTGAAAAGGCTTTCTTGCTTTTCCCTCGAGATTCTTTGGTTCGTACATTGTGGTTTGTGACAAATTTTGTAAGGAATATTCCTAACTTATATGGGGTGCCAAAGTTTTGTGGCGTTTAGATCAATCAGTAAAACATGCAATTTCTTTTTTTTTGTTCTTGTATCACATTTTCTTAAAACTGCATTAGAATGTCAAATAACTACAAAACAGAAACAAAAACAGCTGACTATAATGAAAACCTACCTATATTTCTTACAGGCAAAGTAAATAAAGTGAAAATGTGATCATTCTAGACAAATTACAACTGGATATTTACTTCTGCACCTCTCAGTTAAAAACCACACATTCCCATACATTAAAATATTTTATTTTGTTGTTGATTTTCTTTTCGACTGAAAATTTTTAATATTCAGTTTTATTACAAAACTCTTGGAGTACAGAGGATCCAAGATTGTTAAGCTTACTCAGTATGCAATTTAACTATGCAGCTGGAATTCCTGCAATTGCACTTTAGGGAAATTTCTCTGAGTGTGTTGGATATCTCACTGATTGTAAGATTGGCAACACTGCTTCATTATTAAAACAGTCTGATGTGAAATTTTTATTAAATTTACAAGACCAACATCTAGTTAAACCAAATGAGCTTTAGATTTAATGGCAGAATAAAGTATCCTGTAGCATCAGTCAATGTTGCTAATCTTTATAGATCACTGTTTGAAATGTAATATTCAATTTTTTTCTAATGTAATATTTAATATTAATAAAATCATATTTTCATATTTCTTACAACAGAAAATTAATTCGGAAGTTTTGGTGTTTCGTGTACGGTAATTTTTAAATTGTTAATAAGATGTATTTGTGATTTCCAGGGTTTCAATGCTTTATATCATCCATATATAAAGCCAAAAGTACCCATGAACTTTTGAAATAACTACAAGTCACACCCCCATAAACCATATACTTAAAATGTTCGTCATGACGAGAAACCTTGCCCAATTCTATCCATTTCATAAATTTCCCTATAAGGTCGTAAATGCTTTCCAAAGGGAACTTTCCATATACCTAATGTTAAGAATACCTCAGCTGTACTTATTTTTTTGTTATTCTTTTTATTTATTACCTTATTAAAATCAGGTGTGATTATTTGTTTGTATTACTTTATTCTGTTTTGTTTATTTCAGCTTAACTTAACCAATCAATAGTTTTATTAATACTTATGATGTCAAACGGGGCGAAGCCCGTGGGTAACAGCTAGTTAGCATTAAGCTGCACAATGCAAAGACTTCTTCCAAGTAGTCTTCTCAGAGTTCAAACAAACTAACAAGATAAACTTTTTCTAAGTAGACACTGCTCGATCCCGCACTGAAATCTATGAATGTATATTGGAGGTCGAAATCAATATTGGCAGGCAGACTAGTTGTCATGAAGGTGTGCGGTTTTGTACGATAAATTACATAACAAATTATTACCCTTTGATCATTCCACCTGTTGTATTACCAAGTCTTTATTGTAATGGTAAAGTTAACTTGCTTAGCTCCTGTAGTTAAGCTGTTTAAGGAGGATATTTTTGTATTTTAAGACAAATTCATGCAAAAACATAGTACATTAACAGTAACATTGGTTTGTTTACAGATTGGAATTTCTTTGACAGCTCACTGAAGAGTCCAATTGAGATGTATATAAAACAAAAACATTTGTACCTGTCTCTTTACTAAATAAACAAAGCAAACAATTAACATTCCAACTTATGAATGTAAACAGATAAATTACCATTTACAAATCGTAGTAAAAATAACTCTGATAACGCAGAAAACACCAGAACATTTTATCTGATCAACGCATTTTATTTCGTAACAAATGCATTTTACAAATACAGCGTAGCTTCTGGAACTGATAAGTCATGAAATTATGTGTTTACTGATAAAAGTTACACGTCACGACTTGATCGCTTTGAGAATGAATAAATATTGCTTCAGGGAATTTTTAAAAATAGTTATCAACTTGTGAGAAGTGAGATACAATGGGTTTGGACATTGACCGACTTATAGGTTATGTGAGTAGTCATCATGTTTTCTTCAGGTTTACTAATACTCTTCAGTAATTAATTTTTAAATAATATAAATGTAGAACACTGCAAAAAATTATTTATTATAAGCAAACATTTAGATTTTATCATCCTTCCTGAAGTTAGCTGAAGACAAAGTTTTGATCATGTTCTTCATCTTTGAGCTTTTTTGATAAATGGTCCTGGCTAATGAAACATCTGGTCTTTAGTCAGTAACAAAGCTCACTAAATTCAACACTCATCCTTCTTTGCCATAGTGTTTGATGTATTCTCTTTATTCAACTCAGTAATTTTACGAAGTTTAAAATTATTAACACTAAGTACAACAACATAATCAAAAACTATCGCTGCTCTTCTGGTATTGTACCAAAGAATAAAACCTTACTGAAAATTTATTCTAAGGGATGAAACAAAAACAAATTAAACAATAAACATTTTCCAGGGGGACGATTTCGGCATGACATACCCAAGGAGGATGTTCAAAATTGGCATTAATAAGCTAAAAAAGAGAGGAAAGCTTCCGAAACATCCACACAAGGGATTTCGGGCTGGTTTGAAAAACGCTATGGTTAAGCACCCTCCGTACCTGAAAAGTCAATGGGACGATGAGGTTGATGAGGTGTTCAGTGAGGAACAGGACTTTGACTGGTATCATGATGAAACAGGATCTAACGACCTGCCAGACTTCAGCTATCCAGACTACAAACCTAACTTTGGGCTGAAAGATCGGCTGGGAGATGTAGGAAGCGAGGATGAATTTGGAAGTGATCCTGCTTGGGCGAAAGTTGTTGACCAGGTAATAAAAAAATCAGCTGTTTTTTATCATTGGACTTTGAATAAATAGTACTGGCTAAAACAGCTGATCTTAGTCAGTAACAAGCTAGATAGGTCACTCAATCTATTCTACACTCATCCTTCACCCAAATGCGTCCTCATCTCAATTGGTAATAATAATTACCATATATTAATAATTTGAAATAAGAATGCAATAAGGAAATGGAAATGTACTTATCATATAACTGTGCTGAAGTTTTCAAGCATTTTAGTGGAAAAGTCTAAATTTAAAATTACTATTATTGAAAAGTCACAAATATTAAAATTTTTTTATTAATAATCTATTAATCAGCGTCGATCAAAAATTTGTATTCATTGATATAATATAATCTGCAACGAATGCTAAATAACATCGTACGTAGTTCCAAGTTTTACAATAAATCCGGCTTCTACGCAAATTTTGTCATTTTTAATTATGTTGTCTTCCGCCTCCATTTAAAAAAAAATATTAACTTATGTTCCAAATGTAAAGTCTTTTAAGACATTTTCAATAACCAAAAACCATTATTTCATTTCATTTTTTATAACCTTAAATTATTATTCTCAATTTCAAACTATTTTTTTGTTACGCATGTTGAATTATAGATTATACCATAAAATAATCATGCATTTTTTGTTTTTCATTACAGAAAGCTATAGAAATCAGGAAATGATGTAGAAAAATATCCAAAACATTGTAATGAGCATGAACATGCATCTTGGAATTGAACACAAATTTTCCAAATCATATGGAACTGTTAAGCATATATTATACTTTTTTATTACATAGGCTAGTTAGTTATGTTAAACTATTTACTTCTAGCTTTGATTATTGGATACTGAAGTAAACATCCCATCTTTATGGACCAGTTGTCAGTATTTTTTTTATTAAAAATGAACATAGTTGTGTGAGCCAGTCACAGAACGTGCTAAAGTCTAAATTCCACTGTCTGACTTATTTTTTGTTGCTAACATAGTTGGTGGGCCATAACGGTTGCTTTGGCACACAATAAGTTTTCCATCAGTTTAACTTGGTAAAAAATGTTGTGTATTTTGTTAGAAATTAGTAGCTTAAAGGTCAGCAAAATCTGTTAGTGGCACAGATCAACTATACTATGATTTTGATTAAAAAATTTGTGACAACCATGGGGATGGAATGTCAAGTTGTATCAATAGTCAAAGCTTCTAGAATCTTATACTGAAGTAGACATCCCATATGGACCAGCTGTAGCAAATTTTGTATTTTAAAAACAGTTTATTGAGACAAATCTTTTTTAACCCAAGTAGTTTTTGTGGCACAAAAAATATAGTTTCCAATAAGTTATTCTTTTGATTCGGCTTGTATCAAAATATAGTACATTCAACATACATCAGTCATCCACATCTATGTACTCTTGATGTCTCAATTCAATCGGGTTTGTTTTTTTTCTAAATCTAGTTTCAGTGTTAACATAAATATGGAATGTCTAGTTCAATCCATGGTTAAAGCCAAACAAACGAATTTAACATTATACTTGGTAGGGTGTGTGCATTTAAAGACTGCACTTATACATTTAAAATGTGTGTTATAACTGAATAAATACCACAGGTATTTCTTCCCCAGGCGAAAGAAACATTGCAGTCAACCGATATGCAAGGGTCTACAAACAAAAAGGAAACCATACAGGATGGTTCAAACCAGAAAGAATCTTGGTTCACGAATTTGTTCCATAATCCTATACTCTAATACGAGCAATGTTTGCTTGTATGTATGTATGTATGTATGCTTGCTTGCTTGCTTGCTTGCTTGCACCAAGATCTCGAAAACGGCTCCGACGATTTTCTTCAAATGTTGTAAATAGATTATTTTTGGCCTAAAAACGAGTTTACTACAGTTACAACTGCCAACAAAAATCTAATTACGTAGAAAAACGAAACTGAAAGTCACATTTTTTTAACATTAGTCTTATGGGTTGCTAGGTAACCATCTTGGCTGAATTAAATAACAAGGAAAAAGTAAACAAAAGACTTGTAAGTTGTCTATCCACAGTATACTAGCAAAACAAAATACAGTACAAAAGGAAAAATATCAGTAGTTAGTTTTGAGCAAAGATTATACTGCACATTACTCGATACATTGTAGTCAAGGGTGTATAGAGTGTGGGATCTGTTAATGACGATTAGATTACGGTATCTGCATTCTGAAAATGCTAGGGAAGGGAGGGAAACAGGTCCGCGTCGTAGGAAGTGGTAAAGAAATAGTCAAGGCAAGCTGTCCGGAGTGCGGGAACTGTTTATGACGATTAGGTTAAGGTATTTGCAATCTTAAAATGCTAAGGGAAGGGAGGGAAACAGGTCCGTGACGTAGGAAGTGGTGAAGGAAGTAGTCAAGGTGAGTAGACCAGAGTGTGGGAACTGTTTATGACGATTAGATTAAGGTATCTTCAATCTTAAAATGCTATGGGAAGGGAGGGAAACAGGACCGTGACGTAGGAAGTGGTGAGGGAAGTAGTCAAGGCGAGTAGTCCGGAGTGTGGGAACTGTTTTTGAAGATTAAATTAAGGTATCTGCAATCTTAAAATGCTAAGGGAAGGGAAGGAAACAGGTCCGTGACGTAGGAAGTGGTGAGGGAAATAGTCAAGGCGAGTAGTCCGGAGTGTGGGAACTGTTTATGACGATTATATTAAGGTATCTGCAATTATAAAATGCTATGGGAAGGGAGGGAAACAGGTCCGCAGCGTAGGAAGTGGTGAAGGAAGTAGTCAAGGCGAGTAGTCCGGAGTGTGGGAACCGTTTTTGACGATTATATTAAGGTATCTGCAATCCTAAAATGCTATGGGAAGGGAGGGAAACAGGACCGTGACGTAGGAAGTGGTGAGGGAAGTAGTCAAGGCGAGTAGTCCGGAGTGTGGGAACTGTTTTTGAAGATTAGATTAAGGTATCTGCAATCTTAAAATGCTATGGGAAGGGAGGGAAACAGGTCCGCGACGTAGGAAGTGGTGAAGGAAGTAGTAAAGGCGAGTAGTCCGGAGTGTGGGAACTGTTTATGACGATTAGATTAAGGTATCTTCAATCTTAAAATGCTATGGGAAGGGAGGGAAAACAGGTCCGTGACGTATAAATTAGTGAGGGAATTAGTCAAGGCGAGAAGTCCGGAGTGTGGGAACTGTTTATGACGATTAGATTAAGGTATCTGCAATCTTAAAATGCTAAGGGAAGGGAAGGAAACAGGTCCGTGACGTAGGAAGTGGTGAGGGAAATAGTCAAGGCGAGTAGTCCGGAGTGTGGGAACTGTTTGACGATTATATTAAGGTATCTGCAATCCTAAAATGCTATGGGAAGGGAGGGAAACAGGACCGTGACGTAGGAAGTGGTGAGGGAAGTAGTCAAGGCGAGTAGTCCGGAGTGTTGGAACTGTTTTTGAAGATTAGATTAAGGTATCTGCAATCTTAAAATGCTATGGGAAGGGAGGGAAACAGGTCCGCGACGTAGGAAGTGGTGAAGGAAGTAGTAAAGGCGAGTAGTCCGGAGTGTGGGAACTGTTTATGATGATTAAATTAAGGTATCTGCAATCTTAAAATGCTATGGGAAGGGAAGGAACAGGCCCACGACGTAGGAAGTGGTGAAGGTAGTAGTAAAGGCGAGGAGTGTGGATTTTGGGAATGGATTAATGTACCTGCAATACTAAGACTTACTATACAATACTTACTTGCAATACTTTAATAGGAAACTTATGATTTTACCCGAGCAAAGCTCGGTCCCCAGGTACTTTATTTTAAACAACATAGATTATTTACATAAGTGTATAAAACATAATGATTGTTTTTACTTTTAACCTTATTTATTTATTTCTTGTTGTTTTAATTGTTTGTTATATGATTTTTTATGTTTGTAACAACCTGTTTTAAGGTAAATAAATAACGTTTGCTACAGCTTATTGTTTTTTTTTTTCAAGTTTTACTCTCAAAATAGTGAATAGTTTATTATTTAACTTTTGGTCTATGATTTCAAAGAAAATGTAAAAGAGTTATCAATTACTTTTTTGTGAAAAATATTTGATTTTACAAGATGGGTGGTATATTTTGTAATTGTTGGAATCACATCAACATTTAGATGAAATTCAATGTTAGTTGGTAAAAGCTTGAAAAAACAATAAATAAGATAGCTATTACTCTACTATAGCTATTAGTACAAGTATGTCGGCCCACTCGTGCCAGTTGAGTTCTGTGACTAAGATGTTAGTGCTTGCTCGCCCTGAAAATGGCTAACAGTTATATGACTGAAATTCCGTTACTTTCTGTACATAGTGTACGTAACCAAATGACACGGTTGAACCCCGAAGACCAAGATTTTATATTTAAATTTATATAGTTATAATTATTACCTTATTGTTTAAGTGCATAATGCCACTTTAAAACCGAACCTCGATTAGCATATAAGGTTAAATCAAATTTTAACTTTGACAAATCAGTTAGTATTAGCTTAAGTTTTTAAAAGGGTAACTAAACAAATATTCACAATAATTTGGAATATTGTAGTACATTTTTAAATTTCTATCCCAACACTAGCATTGTAACATTTAAAAAAATTATCCCATCGGTAACATCAATTTGATTTTAAGAAACTAAGTGTAAAAAGTTAATTAGTATGAATAAAAAACGAGTAAAAAGTAAAAAGGATAGATTCTCAGCGTTTAAAATGTGTCAGTGTGTGCCAAGAAGAGTGACAAAATGTAGTACAAAAAATAACCTATGATATTTTGAAAACACTTTTACAAGCACAAACCTAAAATAATTTAAATTCTCAATCATTCAAAATATGAATAATTACAGGGATCCAACTCATAAATTTCTCCCCCTTTCCCTTTAATAACATATTTCCTGTCACACCCTATTTTGAGGTTTGGCCACATAATTAGGTATCTTAATTGATCTGTTGTGTCGCTTACTAATCATTTAAATCAGTGGCTTTTAGGAGATTAGAAAAGGGTTGGTCTCCATTACAAAATAACCAATTTGAACCCAAACAAGATTAAATTGTGGTTAATTGTTTGGGCTGGTAATCAATTCCACTGAATTGAAAAACAACGTTATAGCATTGACTATATTAGTAACATCATTATTATTATGTAGATCCAGGTAGAACCTAACTGTATTGAACATAGATATTGAAATATGCAGATACATTATTTTGGCTTTGGTGTTTTGAGTCTTTTATCATGTTTCTTTGTGGTTTATAGGTTTATCCTAAGAACAACTTTTATTTGTTTACTCCTTGAGTAATTTTACTTGTGTTACAAGATAGAAAAAACTAATCACTCATGGAATTTTGAAATATTATACTGTAATCAAAACTTAACTTAAATTGAGGAAATGCAAAATAACTGTTCTGCTTAACATATATAAAATTACAAGGTAATGTGTAAACAAAATTATAAGGGACATAAATCACTTTACATACTACCTATCCCCAGAGGCAATTTCCCATGGTGGCTCAAAAAAGAGGGGCCTGGAGGCAGAGCCTCCAGCCAGTTAAAGGGAGTACTATCGGAAGGGATATTTGGACATTTTTTTGATATTTTATGGTGGATTAAGGCCCTTCTCATTTTTAAATGACTAGTTAACCTGTTGCTCGAATTCAAGCAATTGATATGTATTACAGGCATTATTTTAAAACGAATAACAGTCATAATTTCTGAGGACTTTAATAGATTTGACTCAAAGATTACCGTGGATCGGAGACAGAAGCCAGGTAACATAAACCTTATTAGTGCTAATTTTAACGATCCAATGGCCAACCATCATCAAAGATTATGGAAATACTCAAAATGTATATAACAGATTGATGTAATCAACATTTCTTTTAAATATATTATCATCTTTCAAAAGCTGATCTTGTTTTTATTTGTGTTTTCTACAAATAGCCTTACTCATAGCCGCATTAGGTTGTCCATAATAACGATTACAAATTCTAAAAAAACATTATTTCTATTTCTTCTCCTTGGTGGTGTTCTATGACTTTCCTTATGTTTCCATAGTTTGCAAATAGGCTCTTTCAATGATTAATAAGAAATACAGCACAGTGTTAATTCAGTTTTCTTTTTAGTATATCAAATTATCCAGGCTCTCTCGCTTTTTCTATTGTAATATTTACGCCAACCCAAATTCAAATAGTAAATATTTCATTTCAACCAAGTCAGTAATAGTTATTTGTGCAACTAGTGAGAAAAGTGAGCAATTGACTCACTCGAGAGAAATCCTTACTCACGAGCCGTAGGCGAGTGAGGTATGGTTTCTCGAGTGAGGCAATTGTACTTTGAACTCGAGTTGCACATTATACTTTTCCTACAGTTACCATAAAACAAATAAATTGGTGAAGAAACATAACCTATTTTTACACAGAAGTGAACTTTTAATATAACATTTAACGTGAAGTGACAAATACAACAGTACAACAGCTGACCAGCTGATTTACAGCCAGTGGACGTTGCCTGCATGTTACGCTCTCACTATTTCGTGCCTTCACGTTGCAAATCTGGAGTGAGACAAAGTAATTAGAGTGAGACAATGTTAACATTGTCTCACTGATGAGCGAATTGGCCACTTTGCTTTCTCAAATCAGTGAGAGAACATGTACATTGTTAGATAACTGTAGGAAAAGGTTTGTTTCTAGCAAACTGTTAAATTATCAAACTTATTGACTGTTTACAATTAACATATGTTCTTCTTCTCACTTTTAACTTCTGGCAACAGCTGCAGTTTCATAACAATGATTGTTTCCATGTTAATCTTATGGAGAAACTAGCTGTACGGGGCTTTGCCCCGTTTAACTTCACAAGTGAGCTCGTTCGCATGGCTCAATCACGTCCTGGTTGAAGTTCGTTCGCTACGCTCACTCACCTTTAGGTTGGAGCTCGTTCGCTTCGCTCACTTGCCTTCAGGTTAGCTCGTTCGCTACGCTAACTCGCTTCCAGGTTGAAGTTTGTTCGCTACGTTCACTCACCTTTTGGTTGCAAATTGGCTGTAGTCATAAATTTAAAAACATAATAGTGCTGCACCCTGTTGGTAATCCGTGTAACTTTAATGCTATTGAACATCATAGAACAGAATCAACTTGTTTAATTGAAACAGTTGTTAAGAAATATCTTTTAAATATGAAAAATCATAAGGTTAACATGGGAAACTCCAGAGCCATTGGGGCAGAGCCCGAAAGCCCGATCAGAATAAAAACTACTTAGTTTTCCTATTTCAAAACCATGCTATTTCAGGGGGTGAGGGACACACCCTGATCATTTCAAACCTCTTTTTATAGATCTGCAAATTCAAACTGCAGTAAATTTGTTCATTTATGATCTGATTGTTTATATATTAAAAAACCCTGAATATCTTCAATTTAATAATCACAGTCACAACACTCGTTTTAAAAATACTGCGCTGTTAGAATCCCATCGTCTTAGTAAAACTAGTAATTGCCACATAATTTTATCAATTAAAGTGTATAATTCAGTAAAAAATAATATAAATTTTCATTCAATTAACAAATTTAAGGCTATGTTTTATAATTATCTACTTCAGAACCCTTTTTATAGTCTGGATGATTATTTTAAACTGGGAGAAATTGTCCTTTAGTTTGGTTTTAATTTCAGTTAAGAATGTGAATGGAGTTGAATGTTAATTGTAATATTTGGCCTGTAAGAGTATTTTGTTGTTTATTTTAAGACTTGGTTTGAAAACTGCAAATAGACTCTGTCAATGATATGTAAATGTATCCTTATGGCAAATAAAGATTGATTGATTGATTGATTGATTTAATGCCCAAAGAATCGGTGTACCGAATTTCAGCCTCCTAGGTAAATGGGAAGTGGGAGAATTAGTGATGAGTGAGTGAGTGAGTGAGTCAGTGAGTCAGTGAGGGCTTTGCCTTTTATATATTTAGATACGTAACTTTAAAGGGCCCCAGGGCCTCACTCTATAATTATTTCCTTAAAAAGAAAGTTTTCTACACAACTTCACTTTACACTCTTTCCAATGACACCAAAAACATGTCAATCGGTTCAGTAGTTTCGGAGGAGTAATTGTCACAAAAAACCTGCCTGCGTATTAAATAAGTTTAGATTTTGTTAGGACGATAAAAATCCTGACTACTACTACACTACTATTGAACAGCTACTGTTGTTAAAATCCAAATGCATTATAAATAATAAACTATGACCAAGGTTTAAGGTTTCCAACCTGTTTACACTTTATTAGTAAACTTGTCTGGTATATTTGGATTTTTATTAGTTTAATTATTGGCACCCAATATTTTTTCCTAAAATTTATAGCGCTGTGACACTGTCCCTATAGTAGGTACCTAGAGGAAAATATTTTCTTGTCATTGTCAAATGACAACTGAATCCAGAATTTACTTCAAGTCTTTAGAGTTACCTAAACCCAATTTGATTTATCATATTTTGATGAGTGTATTAACAATCATATTGCTTCCTGAATCAAACTCGTAAATTAATCATCACAGGAAGGAGCTAGATACTATGGACATAACTCATTAAACTCATAGAAATCAAGTGGATTAATTCCTCTGTTGTTCATAATTAAATACAATTTACCTGATATTTTGTGTCCTTTCAAATACCGCATTTTCAGGCAGGGCCGGTTTAACCCATACGCGAACTACGCGGCCGCATATGGCGCCACGAAAAAGTGGCGCCGTGGCGCCAACGGAAATTTTTTTTGCATGAATAACGTAATTTTGTTTATTTTTGCTCAGAGTTCAAGTATTCAAAGCACCACAATAAAGGCATTTATTCTGTTTGTACCAACAGCACTTAACAATTTTGTATATTTGTACAGCACTACAACTCAAGGACTCAATGCCATTTGCAGTTTCGATTTGAACTGAGCTAACGCTCGGCAGTCGGCAGCGTCAGCGCCAGCGCGGCACCTATGGGTTTCATTTCATGACTCATGCTCGAGATAAACAAGCGCGCAGCGCCACTTGTCACAACAAGAAACTTCCCCTTTCTTTCACTCCTTTCTGCCTCTGATCCTATAGCAGAGCACTACGTTGTATTGCACTCTTTTAGTTGTATACGTAGTAGGCCTATACCGTATCGGTATCGTATTGGCATTGATTTGATGATTCATGATTGTTGATAAGCGAATTATTACGAGTGTTTTAAGTTTAATTTATAATTAGCGCATTAAATAAAAAGAAAGTATAAACTGAATAAATGAGTAAAACATATTGCGAGCCGAAACTATGAAAACAATGGCAGAAAAAAAGAAACTGTCTAGCACTTATCATAGAAAGCGTAAGGCGAATTTGGAAGAGGAAGAAAAAAAAGCCAAATCAATGAGTAGACTTTTGTAGAAATCATCTGGTGGCGAGTCTAGTCAGCCCAAAGAAGTCACGGTAGAAGACGGCAATGACGTAGGTATTTATTTATTTATTTTCCAAGGAAAGATTAAAACAAGCAGCTGATCACAAACGACAAACATTACGTCATTGCCGTCTTCTATCGTGACGTCATGCTTGACGAGCATTAAATTACGGCCTGTTTTTTTAGTGTGTCCTTGGTTTTGCTATAGTTTATATGATGAGTAAAAGTGTATAAATGTCACATTTCTGCGAATAATAAACAGCCTTCTATTGCAAGTTAGTATTCTTCTACCTAAACTTATAAAAAAAATTTCTTCCCAAAATTATTGGGAAAAAATTTACAAATACGGTTAAGTTATGTTCATGGGTTTGGGGGGGGGGGAATTCTAAGTGGCGCTGATTCGGGTGTTCGCTTAACTCTGAAAAATTCCTAGAACCGGGCCTGTTTTCAGGAAATCTTTTGGTGATGTCTGATTCAACTGATCATAACATCACACATACAGTTTTACACTGAAAAGTTTCAAGGACAAAAGGAACTGTAGAAAATACTTAGAACGGACAAAAATTATAAATATTGATATACTTAAATAATTAATTAGTAGCAATATTTTGTAAAACAAAATTTAAAGTTTGGAACTGGACTCGGCATTCTCTGTTGGGTTTGAGGTGTTTTCATTGTCTAGACTAACACGAACTTGCAAACTACTAGTGCTTGAGTTTGTAGTCATGTTCTTCCCTTGAACATCTGAAAAAATATGTTAAATTGTTTAGTTGAACCAGCTAGTTTTAAATAATGAATCTTTTTACAATCTACTATGTCCTCTTCTTTTTTGATTTAAGAGAAAAAGCAAATTAATAGGATATATATAACCAACCATAGCCCTGTATTCTCTTATTATATCATTACACTGTCTATCAAATACACAGGGTGAACCAACTGTTGGTCATACAATGATGAAATAAATTTAACTTTTTCCCCCAAAGAGGAACGTAAACATATTTTAAATGTTTTTTGAATACAGGATGTACAAAATCCAGAGGTTCACTAATTCGTATCTCACAATTAATTGCCAAATGCACACTTGTTGTATTATACACTATACAATAAAGTTCTTGTTAATACAAACACTTCGGTCGGATCAATTTTTTGTTTGTTTTAAGATGTGGAAAATGTTTTATTATTTTGAACACCCTATAGTTTTCTTGCAAATTCAGATATCTCTACTCTGATCCAAATTTCACAATTATTCCTAGGCGCTAAGCTTTATTGTGATATGCAATATATCATAAAGAATACAACACACTAAAACTAGGTATGATTACATTTATCAGCATGATTTTCAAAACGGTTTTTAAGATCATAAATTATCAAATTATATTATTTAAAATTTGATTCTTACAGTCAAAACCTGACTATTTTTTTAAAATCAAAAGAACCACTGGTAATAAAATCTTATTTTAGTGTTTGTTTCTTACGAACCTCTAATACCAGCAACTTTTCTTCTTCTGCTCCATTTGCGACAATGCCGCACCAAGAATACAATGATGAAAATTTGCAGTACTGCCAACACAATGGCAATAGTCCAATAGACTAATTGCATTGCTGCCACCCCTACTACTGAAAATATTCAAACAAACAATATAGAACAATATTTGTAAAAGAGAGAAGTAAAGAAAGCTAAGTAATTTTAAAATCAAATTATATAAAATTAATGTAAATAACAGAGTCTGAGGCAATGTTTTTCATGTGAAGTCATCTTTTAGTTTGTTTCATGGTTTCCACATTGTTTATGTATGCTAAGAGAGTAATTACCTTGTTGGATTAATTTAAAAGCTGTGTCGGCCGATTATGATACATTTTTTAGACCAAATTGAAACAAAACAGGAAATAAGAAACGCCAGTCAGGTGATAATGTGACGTCACTCTCCCCTGTTCCTCGGTAGGCCTGCAAATGTCACCCGCTCGTGCATTTGCAAATTACTTCGTAATTACTGGAAATTGCAAAACGTTCAATGTTTATTTCTGTTTGTGTGTATATAAGTGTCTATAAATACTTTACAAACATCGCTCGATGTGATATATCTCAAACGCAAGAATGCTAGCAAAGAAGAGCTGTAAGAATCTCAAAACATGTACAGCATGAACAATAACTACATTTGACACCTTCTGGCAAAAGTAAGTAGATTTTTATCTATAATTAAATAAGCAGTGATAAGAAGGTTCTACAATGTCAAAGTCCTGCAGGAACGGTTGTGATGATGACAGCATGAACTGGGCAGCCGAGGCACTTGAAAGGAAAGGTAGAGTGGATCTCTGTAAGCCAGAGCATGTTGTCTATGGTAATATTCAGGCCGGATTTACTGCATCGTAATTTGTACACATAAACTTCAAATTCAACCAGGGTTATTTTAACACAACGAAATGTTTATAGCTTCCAAAATACAGTTTTCAAACCATGATCTGTTTTTCTAATCAATATTTTTTTGCTGTTCTTTAAAACTTTGTTGCAGTCTTACTAATATTATAAATGTGAAAGTTTGAGTGTTTGTTTGTTTGTTTGTTTGAAGTTAAATCACACATAAACCACTAGACGGATTGGGCTGAAATTTGCCATGATGATAGCTCACATTACCGATTAACATATAAGTAACGCAAAGCTTGAGTATAACTGCAATCAACCCCGCGGGTACTCTGCTAGTATCATTATAGTTTACTCATATGCTTGTACTTACCAGATGGGAGTGCTGGTTTGGTCTTGCAAGGACAAAGATTCATTTTGAAACGTTTTCCATCCAAACACATTGAGCTAAAAAAATCACATTTTATTAATTATCACAGTTAAATTTTACTGCATAATATTCCATATGCTTATACAATTGTCTTGTTTTAAACTATCTTGGCTCCTATTACTACTTCAGTTTCATGTTCAAGGTGTATTTTACATTTTTCTTTCATTGCAACTTCTGTAATTATTTGATTGAATCCTAGTATTTAAAAAATAAAATAATTATTGTGAGTAATAAAACTAATCAAACTTATTCTATTCTTAAACAATGGTTTGAACTACAAAGTAACATAGTGGCGGTATTAAGACCTAGTCAAGGTAAAGGCTACCGGAAAGAAGGGCGTTTGAGCAAAATTTGACATTTTTAAAGCCATTTTGGCGGCTTTCTAATGCCATTTTTAGTGTCTAGAACTTTTTCAAAAACTTCCATTTAGGACAAAATATATGTTTAAATTCATTTTTCCAGGATCAAACGGGGGAGGCTATAGCCCCTCCCTATAGCCCCCCCCCCTTGGAGCCACCACTAATAAAGACAAAGAATTTGAAGAAACAACCAATAATCCTATTACACACTAATTTTAAGTTTTTAAAAACTAATTTAAAAAATTAGCATACTCACTTGTCATTTTTTACACAGAGACACCACTCTGAAAGTAGTTCAGCATCTGTTAGGTCTTCGAAAAACGCATCTGTAATCTTCTGTTTCATTATGAATGGCAGGTGGCTTAGTTTGGTTACCACAGGAAACTGAGTAATATTTCTTGGTACATTATGTATATGAAGTGTAAACTCCTTTTCAGAATCATCCAACTTGGCAGATAGACTTTTCTTTGAATCATCACTTCCACTTTCACTTTCGCTTTCACTTTCATCCTCTTCCCTTTCCTTTTTATTCTTCCCTTTTAATTTAGCAATCCTGTCTGCTTCCTTATCTTCCTTCTCTCTCATTTCAATTTCTTTTATCTCTTTCCGTAAATTTTTCATGTCTTTCTTTATCTCAACTATGGCAGTTTTAATGGCTGGTATTATTCCTAACCTTGTATTTTGTAGTACGTCTGGTTTGATTTTATCTAGTTCCTCAACGATGGGGCTCGGTGTCTGTAGCAAGTCCTGTATGCTTCTGCCCTCTTTCTCTTTTGCTTGTGGTTTTTGGGATTCTGCTGCTGATTTGGCCGGTTGAATGATAAAAGTGGGCAACAAAGGAGGCAAATAGATTTTGGGAGCTACCTTCCCAACAGGTTTCACATCTCCTTTAAACGCTGTTTCTCTTTCAGTTGATTCATTGTCTAAGTTTTCTGTGTGATTTGAGTTATCTTCAAAATACTTGCCTTCTGCATCATCTTCTTCATCGTCGAATCCATCATCGTCAATCCACTTTGTCCCAGTCAAATCATTACCAGACTTGTCATTTTCGTCTAAGACATCTACAACTTTTTCTGTTGAACAATCCAGAAGGAGTGTTGGGTCCTTTTCATCTTTGCTAAAGTAATTTAGTATGCAATCAAAAGTCACTTCATAGTTAGAAGAGTCCTGAAGATATTTCAAGACGATGGATGTTAAAAATAGACACTCGTCCAAATCTGTCAGTTTCAGTTCAAGCTCCTGAGTGAAGCATATTTCTGACTTCTTCCTTGACAGAAAGTTACCTTGGAAGAAACAGGAGTATATATCGTCATCTAAACTTTTATCACATTTATTGTCTTCATCTGATAGATCAAAGCCCCAAAGGCAAGAGCATTCGTTCGGTGCTGAGCAGGCCCCGTTTACACACTCAATGTCACAAACTGCTTCACACCCCCCAGTTTCCTTATTCCCCTTGTATCCCGGATGGCAATGACACTTGCCAGGGGCCATGCAATCACCGTGTTCACATCCTGAACAATGAGGCTGGCAAAAGCCATCTTTCATCTCATAACCTCTCGAGCAACCACAAACATTTGGCTCCACACATTCTCCATCGTCACATTTCTCCTCACACACAGGCACACAAATGTCCCGTCTATCAGGTGGGTTTTCATAGCCATCTTTACATTTACAGTTTTCTGGAGATTCACAAACTCCATTAGTGCAAGAAGAGCACATAGGTTCGCAAAAATTTGGATTGTCTGTGGCGACAAATCCTTCTCTGCATTCACAAACGTCCTTTGATTTGCAATACCCGTTGACACATTCATCTTCGCAAACAGCTTGGCATATGTGAGGCTCGTCTTTGTCTTTATGGTAGTTAGGAAAGCACTCACACAGATTTGGTGAAGTGCAGGCTCCATTGATGCAAGCTTTTGTACAGTGAGGACTGCAGACAAACGGGTTGTTAGTCTCTTTGTAGCCGACATTGCAGGAGCACTTATCAGGGGCTGAGCAGGTTCCGTGTTGGCATTCCTGTTTGCAGACTGGTTGACACTTGTTCTTTTCATTGTCATTCGTTTGGTAGCCTTCTTTACAAGTGCACACTCCAGGAGCAGAGCAAAACCCATTGACACATTCTGCCGAGCATTCTGGGTCGCAGACACTTGGATCTTTTTCATTGATTTTAAATCCAGAGTTACACAAACAAGTCTCAGAAGCTGCACAGTGTCCATTTTTGCATCCTTTTGAACAAAATGGGACACAAACATTAGGTCGATCTATGTCTTTTACAAATCCTACCAAGCAAGAACAGACTTCCGGGTCTGAGCATTCAGCATTCACACATTTCTCATGGCAGATTGGGAGGCAACGGAAATTGTCATTGGGAACTTTTTCATAGCCACTATAACAAGTGCAAGTTTCAGGAGCAGAGCAGGTAGCATTTAAACACGGCTTAGAACAAATTGGTCGACAACTCAACGGTTTTGAAACATCTTTTTCGTAGCCCTCCAGACAAGAGCAAGTATTTGGAGCGGAACAAAACCCGTTCACACAAACCTCCTCACACACTGGTTCACAATTATTTTCTTTATCTTTTTTGTATCCGTTATTGCAAGTGCACTCGTCAGGCAAGGTACAAACTCCGTTGGCACAACCGTTCTTGCAAACAGGTTTACATACATAATGATCTTCCTCGCTAATGGCATAATTGGTCAGGCAAGTGCACTCCTCAGGATTAATGCATATGCCATTTTCACAAGGCTTGGAGCAAATCGGCTCGCACATGAAGGGATCTTTCTCGCCATGTTTGTAACCTTCTTTGCACTCGCACTTCTTCTCGTCACTGCAATAACCGTTGACACAAGGTTTCTCACAAACATTTTCAGCACAAACGGTCTCGTCCACTCTTGAATATCCCTTGAGGCAAGTACACTGGCCAGGAGCGGTGCATTCTGCATTGACACAGTCTTTGGAGCAGATCGGGTCGCATCGAGATTGTTTCTGTTCCTCGTAGCTATGGAAGAAATAACCTTCTTGGCAAAGACAGACTGTAGGTTCAGGACAATAACCATTATTGCAGGGAACACTGCATAGTGCTGTGGAGGGATTGCATTTTGACGGATCATCTTTGTCAGGCTCAAAACCGCTGTTGCAAGAACATTCATTTGGCCTGGAGCAAAACTGATCCTGCCCACACGGTGTGGAACAATAAGGTTCACATTCCTGGAAAATATTGAATTATTACCTTCAGGTAAAGTTAAAAATAAACCTTAATACAGTAGTAATACATTATTAGCACCCCTAGCCCCTACCACTAAGGCAAAACCATTATAGAAACCTTTGGGTTTATTTACAACCATATGTTTATTCTATGGTGTAATTTATAACCAATTTTTGCATAATGCAAAAATTCCAATAATGCGCCAAATCTAGTAATGCGGTTTACTAGATTATATATGGTTCAAAATATAAACATTATAGATATGCTATTCTTATTTTTTGTTCAGTAGATTAATTCCTGAGTTTTCCTAAAATTTTCTTCAAATCACATGATTTAATAAATAAATTATTGATATATTAAATCAACACTTAGGTCCCCAAAAAAAAATCCTATTCTATAAAATGACCAATGTCTGTTTGTCTGTTTGTCTGTCTCTCTGTCTGTCTATATGTCTGTAATATATATCTCGAAATCTAGCGGAAAGATTTGACCCCCTAAAAACATGAATGGCGACAGCCACTACCTCAGGAAAATTGGTATTTCGCTACACAATTAACTCATTTGGAAATGTAAACATTTAACATTGGTCTTATGGGTTGGCAAGTAACTATGTTGGTTGAAATAAATTACAAGGAAAAAGTAAACTAAACACCCGTAGCATGTGTTTATAAAAAGCTATCCACAGTATACTAGCAAATTACAAAATACAGTACAAAGGGAAAAACATCAGTTGTATCTATTGAGCAAATATTACACTCAAGATTTGATTGTTTGTGGATGTTCTAACCATCGATGTATAAAACTAACAATGTTAGCTATAAACATAAAGGGGAAAATAATAAGGGGGAGGGGTTATAGTCATAAACACTAAAGGGAAAATATGGTTGTAATTTTAAGAATAGATAATTTTGGACGTAACAAATTTATTGGTGGATCAGAGACTACCCCAGGGAACTGTGAGTGTTGGTAAAATACTAATTTGGTAATTAAAAGTCTTGCACTGGACTTTAGAAGAGATTTTATATCGGAAAATTACAGGAGCAGAAATAGATTTGATTATATCATTATAATAATATTCCAGGTAATTTAATTACATCTGGGGGTTTTAATTAGCATAAAACTATTACCGTATGCTAAATCCCTATGAAAAAAGAGGCAGAATCTCAATTTATTTAGAAGTAGTAGCACAAAAGTGGAAAATAGTTATCACAAGCATTTGAAACTAATATAATTTTGTTTGTATCATATTTTTTACTGCCTGTCATCGGTGAACTTAAAAGTCGACGATTTCAATAAATAGAGGGGAGAAACATATTGTGTGAGAAACACTTAAACTTAATCAAGATTGTAAAAGTGTATCTTATTTTTGTTTAAATGGCATAACAGAGTACCTACAGCATTACAAAGTTGTTTATTATTTCAGCGATCAAATATCTATGGTTTGTAATGAAAATGTTTTTTTTTGCAAATTATAAAATGTGTCTGTTTACGATATTGTTTTATGATTAACTAACCCAATTAAGCAATACACCCAATTAGGTCCCCCGGTACTGATTACTTATTGGACCTCATGAGAGAAATTTGTAGTGACATTAGCATTATTCAATTTTACTTTATAACATAGCAAATTTGTAAATCTACATCTACAAACTTCTAGAGCTACATCTAGCTCAATATAATTAAATATAGGTAGGATTTTCATGTCAGCTGTTCATGTGAAATTAAATTTACATAAATTTCCAATACAACAAGGAACACTGTTCACAGCCATGGTACAAGATATTGCTCCGACTTAGACATACCCTTCAGCTGGCTTTGGCTGCCAAAGACCATAAACTTGTTCCCAACTCTTGCCTTGAATATTTACAACCACCTGCCCATTTCAATGAAAAATCAGTAAGAAAGAGCCTTTTGCACTGCCCTTAAAGAATTCAAGCCATAATAGAGCCTACAAGAATATTTCCAAAAAACATAAAGATACAACAAATTCATACTCCACCCAAAAACATAATTTTTTCAAAGTTTTTGGGAAAATTTTTGGCGTTAAAAAGTCTTATAGTTAAATATTTGCAACCTATCCGGCTCTGCCAGTCTCGGTCAAGTATGAGGTAACTAGGTATACTTCACAATCCAATAGTCAATGACAATACTGAATACCAATCATACCTGAGTTCCCTCTTTCTTCAAGAACCCACCAACACAGATACAGTGGTCGGGTTGTCTACATATGCCGTTGATACATCCAGAAGTACATTCCGGTTCACAACGCCCTTCCTTCTCAGCGTACCCATCACAACAGTACTCGGACGTTATCGTCTCCTCCCATGTCTGGAGGAAAATTATAACAATAAAATTATAATTAAAAGTATCCAATATACTTTTTTTACATGGAATAGTAGAAGTGTTACAATAAATTATATACAGGTTGGCTATTGAATTTTGATTTTCAGTATTACCATTTTACTGTCGTAGATTTGGCAAATACAGTGGTAAGAATTTTGGTATAGAATTTACTTTGATTGTGGAAGACTACCACTAACATTTACAAGATACTCGTTAGTTACTTTTTATGATAATAGGAAAATTGAACTTTATGTTTAGATATTCTTTATTTCCCGAAGGTCTCTCTCGCAGCCAATCTGTAAATTTGTTCTTGAAGTTGGGTTTATTTCTTGCTTTAGATGTTGTGGAAGGAAGTGTTTTTGAATGAGTTTTTCTGGAATAAGGTGTATTGGAATTAGTTGTTCTGAGAGGAGGTGTTCTGGACTGAGTTGTTCTAGAAATTAAATCGCACGGCCAGATACCTTTCAGCGTTCACTTGTCATTGGAAGGGTGAATAAGTATAATTCATATCTGGTGGGTTGGTGTATGTCCCTACGTCAGCTTGTTACAGTAGTATACAGAACATTTGATGCTTTTATCAACCAAAATTTATTTAAGATTTTACGTACCACATCTGGTTGGGGGAGCCATTTTCCACTTGTCACAACTTCTGGACAGTTATGTCTACCTAAGAAGCCACACTTTACTTGCTTCAACTCCGTGTGAGTCACGTAGATTTTTGAAGGCTTGCTTTTTGTAACTCTAAAAAGTATTATTGTTATTAATTATTAAATTTGTAACAAAGACACTGGTGTACAAATTATAATATGTTTGATGCAGGCGATCTTCAAAACATATTACAAATAAATGTGGCTTACACAAAAAACATCTGGGTTAGCAACACAAACTCATATCGAAGACTAAGTTATACGTTTAGGCTTAAGTAAGTTGTATCTTTTGGTTTGCTTGATAAGAAAAGCACAAGGGGCTGTTATTTTTTACAATAGTAAGAGCAGAACTACCATAACAAACAAGTACTGTATACTAAGAAATTACCGACAACAAAATTCAAATAATTCAGTCAAAATGAAGGGTAGGAGAACTTTATTGTCTTTTTGACATATTTGGAAGTTATTTTTTATGACTTGGTGAAGTGCTTGAAAACTGCATTGTTTGTTCTGTAATTTGTCATTACATTTTTTAAGATTACAGTTTCTTCCTTAACATCAAAAGTAAAAGAATGTTTCACAAAACCTGTGGTGGGTAGGTTGAGATGCTAGTTCTAGCCCGGAACTGTTTCAAACATTACTTCAGGCTAGTCCTAGAGAGTTGCAGAATTATCACATGGATAAATTCCATTGTGATTGTTGGGATTTGAACCCTGGACCTCAGGCACCGATGCCTCACGCTCTATCACTAGACCAGCTTGATCCCGTGTATGTATTTTATTTTTTATTTTTTTACTAAGACAGGCTCAATTAATTGTATCACTTCAAGTTGTAATTAAATGTAAAAGAAACTTGTTGATTTCAAATACTTTTACCACCAGTAAAAATACCATAGACTAACCAACACAAGTATAATTCCCATCCCATTGTTAATTTTGAAGCTTGTTTTTTGTGTCTAGTTCATGTCCGGTGACACTGGTGGCTAGTGTCGACAAAATTTTGTTTTTTTATTTTATATCGTTTCATTTGGTTAAACGGGGATTTAAATGGCTGAAATAACAAGAATTGTAACACAACATCTACAGTGCATCGGACAGAACTACAACTAACGATAAAATTGGCTTCAGCTGTTCCATAAGGATGGGAAATGTACTAAGGGAGTATGTTTCATCTATGATAATACTTACTTAAACAAATTTTCTCTCATGCACTCTATATCTGCTGCACTAATTTATACCATAAACAATATTAAACATACTCAATTACAGGTATATCACCAGAAGATGATTTTTAAGCACGTCCGATAACACTAGTGCATTAATGCCTTCTACTTCTTGATTTAAGGACTAGCTTTAAAATTATTACTGTACAACCAAATAGAATAATAAATTTTTAAGCTACTACTTATCTACTAGTATTACAATAATTGAGGATTCAAGCCCACGCTGTTGAATGAACCTTAAAATAAAAAAGTAACGATTAGTTTACATTGACACTCTTAACATTCACCAGAAATCAAACGCATGTCCAAACAAATTTCAGATTCAAGAAGGTAGTAAAAGTTCAACTTAGAGTTTTCTTAGTTAATCAGTTAGGCCTACTTGAAAATATTAGTGTTTGCAACTGCCGCTACATTATATTAAAATTACTTTCTAATCAAATGTAACTATACTTAAGTATAAATACTCACTTGGTATCTTTCTTACAAACTCCTTCTGTGCCAAAAAGACCCTCCAAGGACAAAACCAATGACGACCCCCAACTCAAATATATAAGGGTCCTAAAAATGAATGCATATTTTCAAAGCAATTAATTTTTGTCAGTTGTTAGTGACAAGTAAAAATAAGAAATTTAGAACTTCTTACAAATATTGTGAGATTGACTATATAATACCTGCTCCATTTTTAATATCTTTTGTTTCCGTAAACTACACTCCATTATCAATAGTAAAATTCCAAAATATTTATTAGATGATTTCCGTTTATTTCTGACATAAGCACTCGTAGAGGTTCTTTCTTTTTAGCTTCACCAGGGCTGCTTTTATAAATGGAGGTAGAAGAGGTTTTAGGTTTGTTTGGGGAGCCATGAAGAGAAACATTCCTGCAAAAGGTAGGTGAAGAGGGGCGCAATCATCCCTCGGGCCCATAGCGCAACACATACAAACTGCAGGCCTGATCTACACTAGTTCACCAGTTTTAACACCCGGTTTAACAGTTGTAACCGTTTTTATTTCAATAAATCATTCTTAACCTTAAAATTTGAATGTGGATTTCTCTTCCTGACCTTATAAAAGCCATTGAAAACCGTGTGAGGTTTGGGGCAGGGATTAAATATATAATTTTATGCAGCAGGCATGTGAGTGCCAGACGGCAGTGGTTTATGTGACGGATTGTTGGCGGCGTTTCATTTTATTTCTATAAGTGAAAAGTTTTATTTATGTTTTAGAGGTTAAGTGGTAGCTGACTGGCAAGTCCTAGGTTTGCCTCTTAAATAGAGCAATTTTTCATTTAACTTCATCTGTAAACTGCTAAAATTTTACATTTTAACATTTGTTTATGGTTGATGCATTGTTGTCTAGTTCCATAACTACACTAATAGTTTTGTTTTAAGTTTGGGTTTTTTTTTATTTAATCCCTTACCCAAATTTACCATTGTAGTTTAACTAAGGCACACACTAAAAGACAAAAGTGAATGAATATGAGCGAAGTATATGTGTTTTAAACTGTACTTACCAGATAGAAAGCATTTTGCGCCGAAAGTACGACTGACAAATATTCGTGGACAGTTACAGTGGAGCGTAGTTTCAATATGTATAAGGCTTAGACATTAGGGACTGTTTCCACAGACAAAGCAAGCATGACCTATATGTCTAGGATGGATTAGCATTAAACACGAACTAGACTATTTTCTTTAAAAACAATTCTTTTCCTCATTTTAATTAGATCAAATTTTCAATTGCTGCTTTACACGTATATTAATTTTTAACGGTTATTTTCTAGTCACTAAAAACTTTTTGAATGTTAATTAAAATATTTTTTTTGTCATAATGAAGCAAAAACAGCTGTTTTAAATGCATCCGTTTTTAATCCATGGTTGTGGGTCTTAAGTAGCATATCAAGGGAGTAAAAATCAGCTGTAGTCAACTCAGTTGTAAATTTTGATTGTAAATAATTACAGTATCGAAAGCATGTATCAATTGTTTAATCAATTGTAGCATATTGTTTCCTTATTGTAAATAGTTAGACATATCAATAGTATAATGTACACTAACACGAGTGCAATATGATGAAAAATATAGTTCATCACACAGGAAAAAAGTATCTTTTCAACCCTCACTCATTTTTCAACCTAGGTTTTGCATTTAACATAATAAAACTTGAGCTCACGTCGAAAGTCACTTTACGCCCTAGTGATGAAATATACTATTTCAGATGATATTGTTGATTCCTATTTATTTTTGTTATGGATAATATTGATGATGAACTGATGGTCAACTTTTACTGTACTGGAACCAAACACTACAGAAAGGTTAATTCACAATGAAAACTCTCAAAAGGGGGTCTCCATTTTATTTTCTGACTTAAAATGGCAACATTGAAAACTTAAAAGTGTTTATTGCACTATTTTAGGGCTCTATATTCATAGTATCATTTCATTAGGGAATAAATTCATCTTAATTACTTAACTGTTATTAAAAAACTACACATCAAAGTGAGTCATCAAGAAAAACAAAACTCACCAGATCCAAAATGAAAGTAATCCATTCATAGTTGAGCACTTAACTAAGTTACCTCATTCTCAATGATGTTAACTTTTCTATTAAAACAATACAAAAAGAACCACCCAAATTGCTTATATCACAGGTTTAGAACATTGTACGAATATGGGACATGCTCTTGGCTTCATTACACAGTGATTAACATTAATTAGCGGCATATGTTCGTAAAACATCTGCATTTTGTATTATCTCCCTACAGAAGACAATAAAGCAACTATCAACACACAAACTGAACCGTTCTATCAAGAAAATATAAGACAAGTTATACATATAAGTATTTTTATTCTTAACAACCATAAGATTGATGGACAGTAAGCCAATATAAATTTATATGCATCAATCATAAATTTAAACAAATAGCAACAATATAGGTTCCCGATTAATGTTTAGGAACACCTTGTTTTATACTGTAATAATACAATGCTAGCCAAGAAAATATGAAGCAAAAAAGAAGCAGTGAAAAGTATGTCTGCGAGTAGCACAGGTTGTTCAGCTCTATTGGTTGTCTGAAGAAAAAAAGAACACTGGGAAGTCTTCGGTAACTAATGTTCAATTAAAGTTGGTTCGTACAACTGATGCACTTAATTTCAATAAGTCGACAAGGAAGGTATGAGGAAAAAGCAGGAAAATTGTTATGTTTCCATTGGTACCATGTTGTATAGGAATATCTTGATAAGAATTTCCCAACGCTCTGGGTTGGCTGTGCAAATGACATCAATCACCTAATGTGTCGATGGCTTCGATATAGCCCAAATTAAACTCCGTGTGATTTAACTATTGTGTAGTCATGTAAAACACAGTATTTGTACTACATTTTCCATCAATCAAAATAAAATAACTAATGAAAAAACCCCTCTAAACTCTTGCAGCAAAAAAAATGGATTTCCCTTCAATGGAGAGTATATTGATCAGTCCACTCTTCAGAGAGTTTGGTTGGAAGTCAGAACTCAAAATTAGAATTTACTTATGTTACGAGATTCGAGGTACAAATATTGTACATTTGTGATACTTGGAAAAAACTTGAAAATATGTACTTTTTGAACATTTTTATTATTGTATTATCCTTGTAATAATAAAATTGCTAAGTTTTATCAACAAAGTTGTATTTCTTTTTTAACCACTCTGTATTTTGACAAACCAGTTGATGACTTCTAAACACCATTAGTAGCATTTTAAATTAAAGTTCTTAATCATTCAGGTCATGGTTCATTTAGAAAACATAAACCTTGGTACACAAACTATAAAAATGAATGAAAAATATTTAGGGAGTAAGGACAAAATAAGCAATTTTCAGATCACAATGTTTTTTAATGACAAAACTCATTTAGCAGGTGGTAAAATCAAAATCCTACGAATAAAGATTTGCAATAAAATTTATAAAAAGACAAACCAAATTGCACTTTACACTCTACATTTTGTACATTATTTACATTAAATGTAAAATGATAAATTTTATCATTTTGTATCCTAAAGGCACAAGTGCGTTACTTACTATTTTATTCAAGATTTTTGATAACTATGTTTACGATTAATTATGATGACTAATGATCTGTTCAGGCATTCAACAAAAGACAAAACGTGTTTAAAAACTACTGAGAACCTCAAAAAGACTCTCATGGGGACTATAAAATAAGACTTGTTATCATGGTTGACTTCTTATCGGGGTAATTAGGGGCAAATAAATTCTAGAATTCTATGGGATTTTAAAATTACGGTATTTTTATCAAAAGAGACTTGTTATCGAGGTTTCACTGTGTGTTGTTTGAAGTAAATAGATACAAACGTCCTAAAAATTACAAACAGTTTAGTCACATGAAACCAGAGAGTGAAAAAGGCAAAACTTTTTGTGAGCCAATTCGTAAAACAATTGAAAATTCTGTAAAAATATGAACATACGAAGGAAGTCCTGAACTATGATTCAATTTGCCAAAAGATTATTTTGCCAAGAGTTATTAGAATTCAGCATGATTTTCAAACTGGTGGATTACTAAACAATATCAGAAAACCAAGAGACAAATTTTACCGATTATCAAGGCTATAAAAAAGGATTTAGATTTATTATGTAAATTGTTCCATTCTCTTGGACCAGTTTGCCTAACAAACATTTTTTTTTTTTTTAATAAAGTCTAACACATAGGCTAATAACTTAATTCAAACATCAGAAACAAAAAAATGCAGGAAAACACGAAAAAACAAAAAAAATCAAAAACTTAACCTACAAACACAGAAAATCGTTATCCAAAACAATAAATAAAAGCAAACGGTGAACACATAATGATGTGTTGAGGAATATTTGTGCTCTTTCAACGGAAATTTTCAGAGAAAGGTAAGGTTAATTTTGTATCTTGAATTATAAAATGTTTTTGGTTCACTATTCATAAGTTTCAAACAATAAAATTACCCTGCAGATCAAGTGATATTTTATGTGAAGTACAATTCATAGTTACTTTATGTTTTTTTTTTCTACTGTGATCTTGTTACTGACTAAACAATTTACAGATCCTGTCTCAGACAAAATTTTTTCCCCATCTAAGGATGCAATGTGATGTATTAAATAAGATAAATAAACTTTTAGACACAAATTCAATAATTATCCTGGTTTGCTTAGGTTTTCAATTCATAGTAATAAATTATTAATCAGAACATAACAAATATCAAAACTTATTGATAAATTTGAAAAAAAACTATCAAACATAACTGTAGAAACCGGAATTCATGCAAATAAGTACTTAACTTTCATACAACTTTTATTATCTGGTAACAAATTATTGAATAAGTTTTCTACAAGAATTAAATTGAGAAATGGATTCACACAACAAAAATAACAACGCTTAACAATATTTGTACTTTAACACTGTGTACACTAAAATAATATGAATAACAGTTAATACTTACAAACTAACAAAGTTTAAGAGCAGAAAATAATTCTGATAGATCAAGATATAATTGCAATCAGATTGAAGAATAAAAAATATAACAAAATGTAAATACAATCTTAAAATATTTAAGACCCAATAAAAGTATTCAAAAATCTTGCTGATAATATTATGTACATTAATCTATTTACCGTTAAATATTCTATTATGACACAAGAATACATCTTTGGTACATTTTCCTTTTTTATATAGTGATTAAAATATAAGCAATAAAAATATAATCCAAAGTGAGAATGTTTTCAAAAATGGAAATATAACACAAAAGTATAAAGTTTACAAAGTTGTAAAAACATTTTAAAATATTTAAGTATTGCTTATATTAAAACTAAATACAGTACAAGGTAACTAAAAATAATTTACAATAAATTATTTAATCTATTTTGTAACATTGTACCATGCCTAACGCTATTAATGCACGTAAACAAAACCGAGTTAAATTCTATCATACGAGTCACAGACAAAACAAGCAAGGTTTTGAAAATCCATAAAATACAAAATAAAAATCTAGACATAAATATTAAAAATCCAAACAAGCCAAAAATCCAAATTCAAAATCAAAACTTCAAAAGGACACTCTAAAGCTAATTAATTACTTTCACCTTCTTTCTTCATTGTTCAGCCGGGAAAAACATCTGTGGCTCAATATTTACTATAGGTACCACAATTCTATTGTTTAAATATTAATTTATTTATGTATCTAAAAAAAAAATATTTTTCTCCCAATATTTTGAAATTTCTTGTTTGTTTCAAAACTCACTTTCAAATGCTAATCATTAAAATAGCTACTATTGGTATTCAAAATCAATTATTTAATCTCATTGAGCCAGGGCATATGTTAAAAACCTTAAAGATGGTCAAAGGCAAAGGGGAAACAGAAAACCGAAATCACCTTTATTCACCTTTCGACTAGGAAAAGTTGCAAACCGTCAATGCATTATTTATTGCACAACCGATGGAAGTTACGATGTTACATTTTATTTTATATTTACAATTTGTGGGAAAATCTACTTTAAGTTACACTACCAGTTTGAATTTGACTCAACACTTAACCAATTTAAATGCCTACACTATACTTAACATATGAGGTCTGTAAGGAACTGATCGGTCGATATCCTTGGACTAAAACGAAAGAATCGACCAATCAAAGGCTCAATCAGTCTTCCTGGTCTGTAGCGATCAGCAAATATTTCTGTAACATTCCCGGTTAAAAAACTTAAAAGAGAAACAAAACATGAACGGGTTAGTTGAATAAGAATGGTTATTGAGACGATCGGGTTATTACAATTGTTAGGATTGTTAGTGACGACAGAGTTGAAAAAAGGTTTTGGTTGATTACAGAGAGTAAATTAAGACTACAGCTTGGAAATACTTCTTGAGGAAGAGCACTTGAGTTTTTAAGACATATTTACGATATTGAGCAAAATTTTGATGTCCTAAAAATGGCACAGTGTTAAGTGTTCCAATTTCTATCTGCGTCTCTCAAGTCAAGTGATATGGAACAGATATTTTACTGATAGTTTACAATTATTTTTGAGATAAAGATTTCATGACTGAATTCTATTACAAGATTATAATTGGCCTTAAAATGTTCTTAAAAAATAAAAAATAGATAATAATATGTGTTTACTATAATACAAGAAAGTTTAAATCATATTTTGAAACGGCAGATAGCACTGGAATACCTAAGGCTTCCAATTAAATAGTATAAAATAAGAAATAAAATGGTAAAACAGAATTTCATAAATAGTAGAATATGTTTTAACAATAAAGCCGGGTTTACACTATATAGCTGAAGAGCTATATAAAGATGAGCTATATATAGCTCCGTCAGCTACATATAGCTCTGCTACAACCAAAATGCACGTATTGCAGAGCTATATGTGATATAGCTCTGCTACATAGTGTAAACTCGGCTTTAGTACAAGATATTTTATTAAAGGAAGAGGAAAAGTGACAGAAAAGTTAAGAATTGTTGTAAACAAAGATTGTCATAGAATTAATATTGCACCAAAATAGCACCATAGAACAGATTTAAGTACAGTTTCAATAATTCAAACTCTTTTAAACACAATCTTAATCTTTGAACGGGTGTTTTTTTGCTTGGAGTGGGCACTAAAGTAGTTGTTACTGTGAGACTTACTGAAGATTATTTTACTTTATAATGTTCATAATATATTGTGGATAACATTTTAGTTTTAAGTCAAATAAATTAGTTATCTGGCTCACTTAGGCTTAAATTAAATCAACAAAGCAAATCCCGAACTAGTACAAAACTTTCACAAAACATAGGGAAGTGAGCTATACAACTCAATACTTAAACGTAGAAGTTTAACTCGTACTGATTTAAGTCTGTGCCAGTGGAAGAGGTGAGAAGATTTTGGTAGCTCAATAAAATGGGTTCCACTGTACTTAATAACAAGAGTGTGACGAGAAAATTTGCTAACAAGACATACCTAGACAAGTTGCAAAACACATTACAGTAGAATCCCTCACATCCAACCAAGTGTGCAGTATTCATATTGTAATTTGTGTGCAAATGTGCAAATACTAATTATAACTTCTTAGCATTAATATTGATTATTTTATTAAGTACTTGAACATCAAACTATACGAATCTGGAAATATTCTAATCCGAACATCTAATCAACCTAACTGAGCCTTAACTATCCGAACCAAATCCTCTCAGAACTGAAATTTCACTATCCGCACACGTCTACCAGTACGAGCATATCTTGCGGTCTTGGTAATAACCGTATTTGTCACCCGTGAGCACATGTTGCGGTCTTGTCAATAAGCGGTGATCGTCTGCCGCAATTACGGCAACACCTGAGATAGGCCATTCAGTTAACCGAACCTTCTTGGTGTTATCGCCCCAGACAGGAAAAATGTACCGTAGCCGGTCGGTCACTAGGTCGGATATGAGGGGTTCTAATTAATGTCTGTTTAACCCAAAAAAAAACTAACTGTACGCAGATGAAACCTCCAAAAGTGCCCATCTCAAAAGCTAACTTTAAATCGCAAAACTCATCACTTCTTCAATTATTTTGGTTGACTTGAATATTCAATAATGAATAAATACTATTTATCACTAACAAGCTTACACCTCCCAGTGTCAACCCTATGTCACACAGAATCTATAATACCTATAAATTTTTTTGATGTACAGCTTTTAGTGGTAAAAACTGAGTACTTGATCATCAAACAAGCTCAACTACACCTCACTATCTAGGTGTTGAGGTTGGTTCAGTTACAATAGTTGGTGTCAACTGTTATAGTAGCTACGGTACATACAAGGTGTGCTGATTGGTCTGCCGTGAACTCTGAACCTGTAGAGGCAGGTGTACTCCAAACTGCCGTGGTTTGATTCGATCACCAGCTCCACCATCTTGAATGAGTGATCGACCTCCTGTAAAGGAAGAATAAAATACAATAAGTGTTGGGTTACAGTTTGTTTTAAAAACCTTGCAGAGAGCAATCATGACAACAAAATCTATTTTTATTTTTTATTTGTCATACTGTTCTATAAAAACTAACAATCCGTGTAAAATTACACAGATAGGCCTAACCATATTCATGTTTGGTGCAATTTATCAGTGAAACATCAGTATAATCTAATTAAAAAACTACACAAGCCAACCAAAAATAGGTATTTAAACTGACCGTCACTGCATTTTTGAAAACATTTTATAGTTTTAAAGCCTTATGTGGTAACCAGTAGAAAAGTAGTATCAGCTTTCGTAATCATTAAATTTGTAATGATTACCGATCACAAGATCATCATGACCATAGTTCACATTGCAGTGCTTTCGTCAACATGTCTCAAGGTCATGGAGCCATCGTCAACATGTTTCGCGGATATGGCACCTTTTTGAACAGCTTCCACAATTAATTGTGGTGCAATCGTGAACATCTCCCACGATTACAGAGACATCATCATTTTCTCCTGGGTTCGCAGAAACATTTTGCACATATCTCGCAATCGCGGAGAAATAATCATTGTTACCCCCCATATCGGCGACATCTCCTGCGATCGTGGAGAGTGGAGACGTCATGAATGTCAATTGTGACGTGGAAAAATTGCTGACGATCAATAAATTCCGGTCCCAAGAAAATCCCGAATCAAATGTAATCCCGTTTCGATGATAAGAAATGTATTTCAAAGAAAATTTCCCAAATCATGACCTGTCCATCCTTAATTAGAATCATAAATAATATAATAATAATGAAGAAATGTACAAAGAAATCATACAACAATATTTTCACTTAAAACTAAGAAAACTAAGAATGTGTTGAAGATCAAGACAATTCGGATTGTTGTGAAACTAACAGATCCAATTCCAAATTGAGCCTGCGAAAGTCAAAGTGGTATAAGTCATGTTTTTCTTGTTTTGAGAAATGAAGGGGTTTATTAGAAATTTACCATAAATCAGAAATTAATCTTGGTTGTAATATTTGGGTCTAAATTTATTGCTATTGAGTTGCTTTAACTTTTTTGAGCAATTTTGGAATTTTGTTTTACATAACGTCATAGTTACATGGGACGTAAATGACTTACACCACTTTGGGTTTTAATGATTTTTAACAGGTACATGAGGAAAACAGTAATTATAAGTCTAAGTCACACGACTATTATGATTTATTTAAGAATAATAGAAAAATGCTACAATATGTATCATGTTGTAGGAATGTTCGAAAGCTTAAATTTCTACTTTTATTCTGAAGCCTTTCCATTGGTTTGATCTTCTGCTTCTCTTTGATCTTCTGGTTCTATTAACTGCCAAAGTAGTACGACTCTGTAACTTACACCACTATTGCTCTCAACGAAAACACTTATTTGTTGATAGCAAAAAAACCCGTCTGTAACAGCTGTTTCTGACGTCATCTGACTTATCACTTTGCCCATGGATACTTTTGATTAAACCCTGCTCAGTAGTACCAATAACTCAATTTTTTTTAAAGTTGACTTATACCACTTTGACTTTCTCAGGCTTAATTATAGCATAAAAGTTGAAAATTAAAGCAAAACATATGACTTGTCTGATTCTCAGTGACAAATCAGTTCTATAACTTAAATAAAAAAAGGAAACGCTGACTTACCAAAGCATCAAAATACTGCAGACTCTTTCCATTGTCCAGATATGTAAATTTCCCTAGCAAAATGGGCATGTCATCTTTTTCTGACTCCAATCCCTATAAAATAAACAAAATAACAAACCAAATGAAATTTCAAGCTAATTATTTTTTTTTGCACATCCTTATTCATATAATAGTTAGTTTAATAGTTCATAAAATAAAAACAATTTAAACAATTATAATAGTGATAAAAACACATCCAACAAGGTTCATTTAATCATAAAACATGCCCCCTACATTTCCCCAAGATTTCAAGTGTAAAATTAAACCATTGATGGGCCAGTAACTCAACGAAAATTGTTTTTTATAAAGATTTTATTGTCAGAAATTGAACTTTTATTGACAGCAGAAAGGCACATTTCAAAGCCACCTACACACAGGGGCGATAGTGACTTTGTCGATAAGTTTTGTAGATTTGGTAAGGCTATGCTGTTTATTATGAATAAATATATTTTAATTACATTAGCTCCGAGCCTACTACTTGTAGTTGCCACTCCTGTCCCCATGAAGCATATTGTTAACAGCTTCTAAAAGAACTTGAACAATAAAACACTGTTTAACCACACCCTACCACAACCTGGGTTAACAAAAACCATAATAAAAATTTAAATTTGTTGGAAAATTAGCAAGGTGACAGGAGTTGTCTGTATGGTGTAGGTTTTTGGTCCGATTCTGCCAACGAAATATAAAGGAACAGACATCTCTTATTGTGACACGGTTTAAGTTCAGAAAACAATTCGAGATTATTTTAATAAATACATTTTGGGTAGCCTATATACTGTTGTAGATTTGAAGATAACAGGAATTAAAATAATGTAAAAACGACTGTTGTAGGAAATCTGTTTGAAGTCAAATGCCCTTTAAATTTCAACCATTGAATAACCGAAGAAAGAAAAAGATAACTGAAACGACCATGACCGCTTATATTTTAGTTGGTCATGTCTTTACTGTAAATATTTTGGAATCACCTTACACAGGGACTGCTATTCGTTACAACTACAGTTCCCATCCGACAAAAACTTTTAACAGCTTCTCAAATAAAGGATATTCAGTTAAACAGTACGCATCTAACCAGAACATGAAAGTCTTGAGGAGCCGTGTCTATATTGCCGCTGGGACTGAGAGACTTGGGCAGATGTTCCATGGTGAACCCTGTGATGGTGATGTTCTGGCTGAGCTCAATGATCATGAAGCCTTGATTGCCAACGAATGCCCAGCACTGCCCAGCAACTATACCTGGCTGTAACAGAAAGAGAAAATAGTACATGCTTCATGTTAACAAAATACAGTAGAAGCCCACTAATCAGACCTTGGCTAGTCCGGTTCCTAGCTTAATACGACCGTGCAATTGTCAATTGCTAAAAATGTTATCACGATAAAATCATGACTATTTGCCATGGTCGTGAAGAGATCATCACCGTCTTCAACAATGGTGGAAAAACCCTAGACATATCCTACAGTCACAGAAAAATCATCAAAGTCTTTGACGATTGCGGCCAAATTCTGACCATCTCCCGTGGCCGTATTGACATCATCACCGTCTTCTGTGGTTGCGGCAAAATATTAAACATCTTCTGAACTTGTGGAGAAATTATCATCGTCTCTAGCAATCAAGGAAACTTAAATGTTGTTAGGGGTCTACCTGGGATCACGGCAAACTCCTGAATATCTCCTTCAATAACGGAAGCATCATTGTCGTCTCCCACGGTCTACTTGTGATAGTGGTTAACTCCTGAATATCTCCTGCAGTAACGGAAACATCTTTGTCGTCTCCCGCGGTCTACTTGTGATAGTGGTTAACTCCGGAATATATCCTGCGGTAACGGAAACATCATTGTCGTGACCCGCGATCGTGACAAAATACGGTTTCCTACGGTAAAGACAACATTTTGATTGTTTGATCGCGCTCTATCAATGTCTGTTAATCAATTAATTTGGTTATTTAATATGCTCCTCGAATAATCCAACCTTTTCAATGTTCCGACCATGGTCCCGTAGTTAACAGATTAGCTGGGCTATACTGTACAAGTTTTCATGTTAAAGGATTTGGATCCTGAAGTGAGAAGGTATCTTAATTCAGTAATAATTGTGGACATAAGGCTTAGTAAAATACACTTTGTGAATTCCAAAAACGGGATGCTAGAAGGTCTGTCTGAAGTGCAGGCTTCAATCCCACAGGTTTCAGGTTCAAAACATTAATTCAGAATTCAGAATCAATAGAACAACTTTTTTAAGCTAAATTTTTAGGTCTTTATGTAGATGAACATCTAAGTTGGAATATTCACGTATAAAGATTATTAATACTTAAAATGTATATATATATCTAGGCTAGTTTACTACTTATATTTGACGCTATTTTTGTACCCATGAACGTGTAAGCCTAAGGAAAATAAAGATGTTATGAATTTGAATTTGAATTCCAATCACTAATTAGCTATGTGATGATGCCGTGACCCTCCAAGCTTAGCCTAATACTAAATAAATCAGTTCAGGAGTGGAGCCTCACGTCCTAGCATGTGAAAGGACATAAATAATGCTGCAAAATCTCAATCTCACCTCCAAAGCAACTTTAGGGTCGTTGCCAGCCTTGCTCCACAGAGGGTATCCCCACACATGGTAGTTGGCAGACTTGGTAGAGAACGTCTCAGTACAACGTGTGCTCACTACGGTCGCACCTGAACAAAACAAATGTTAGTTTGACTGTGCAAATACATTGCTTTTGTAATTAAAATGCAATAAGATTGTTCATCCCGAACATGATTAGAGGGTGCAAAGTAGAATCATACATTCAGAAATTCAGATATGGGTAAATGGAAATGAGGAATTCACACTATTGAGTTTGAATACTGAATTAGAGATCCCAACTATGTTACGGAACAGCTCCTGTTTTGCCGAGTAAAAAGATTAAATTAATACCTCTTGTACTGTCAATGATCCGGTTTTTGGTTGGTCACAAAGGTTTCGGACCTATAGGTTCATTTTGAAGCTGACCAATAAGTTGGAAAAACTTCTTCATCCCTGAAGTTATGGAGTGTCGTTATAAACACTTATACTAAAACAAAAACATTAAACAAAAATTTGACTTAATTGTAATATTGGCAGACACATGGTGTAGCTGTCAGAAGGTGGGTTATTTCCAATATTTAGTCAGCTTGAAGATAAACCTTTTAATTCAAAAACCTTGGTCGCTAGACCATTGACCTGACCATTGACAATACGATAGGTATTTAACCTTTGTATTCATTAAAATAGAATTTAGTTAAATGAACTGTGCTTACAGAGTGCTACTGCATTGACAGTTTTTGGTACAATGATATTTGAGGGAAATAAAATATGCTATGAATACAGGATAGGTAACCTTAGTATAATTCCAAGCCCGGCTTTGGAACATTTCAATAGATATAACATAAATTTTTTTTAAAAATGTTGAATATTCCAAAATGTTATGAAATAGAAATAGCCTACTTTGTTCCATTTCCTTCAAACCCAAAAATAACAAGGCAATTGCATAGATTGTGTTTAGCATATCAAAAGACCAAAAAGACTACTAATTCAAGAACAATCCAACTATGGTATGTCTTCGTCTATGGTATGGTAGCACTTCTATCATTATAGTCAGTACACTTAAAACAGATGTTTCAATCATCTCTCACCAGATGAAGCAAGTGCGTAGTCTACTTTGGCAACTTTATCAGCATCGTATATCGCCAGTAGTCTCTCCACAGTCGCGTTCACAAAGGCTTCAAGTTCTGTAGATGAAGTGACAGGATTCGGCGAACTGTCCGGACTTGCTTCTGAGACCACTTTCTGGAATTCGATAAGGCAAAACTTATTCTCTCTTTGAAAGAAATTATCACAAGAGTGTGCGACAGAAATAATATTGAGTTTCTCCTTTACTTTTTGTACTATGTCAATTCATGTGACATAATCTTGCTATGGGTTGGTTTAAATAGTCCGTTTAACTTGAGTTGGTTTAAAATGTTGCCGTATTTGCAGTAATTAACATCAGTTCATATTTATCATGTTGGTTGCTCAATTCTCAATGGAAAACTGACTACACAGCTTTTTATTGGGGATCGGATACTTCAATCGATAGTCAAAGGTGTTACTTGTTGCATTGAACTCTTTTTGGTTGTTGTTGGTTTTAGTTAGCATTTTAATTTTGATTGCAAAAAAATCTTTTCATGTATTAACAAAAAATCATCAGGTTTGGGGGTGAAAACTAAAAAGTCAAGCAGGGTGTAGAGTTGAATCTAGAATTTATAAAACCTAAAATAGAACAAAAAGTTCTCTAGGAGATTATAATTTCCTTGATATCTCACCTGATTTATCTGAAGATTGATTACTTGCTCCACGATTTCTTCTCTTACTTTAGCAACCTCAAGCAGAATCTGCTCCTTTAATATGATTACTGAAAACAAACATCAACATCATTGAAAAAAATTGTCTAAATCTATAATTGAATAATTTTATTTATAGTTTTGCATTAACCCAAAACTACACAAGAATATTCAATCGGTACACTACCCTTGTACTGAACACAATCACCGGATATGCTTAGCCGGATATGTTCCATGCAAAAATCCGTAGTCTATGTGGACGGACAAATTGCAAGGTTAAAAGAGGCCGTCAATGTCTTAACAAAAATGTAATACCAAGAAATTTTTGAGCCCAAATTTTTAAAGTGAATTCCTTTTAAACATTTTGTTGCTTATTGTGACCACAAAATAAACAGATCTTCCCTAAATTTAGATATTATTTACTAAGGTTGTTTACCTTATCTGTTTCAGGATACTTTGCCTCAGATTTTCATGTATTTGTATCTATATTTTAGTGTTGACAAAAGTTTGCTTTTTGAAAAAGCTGTTCAGTTTAACTTCTGGAGTATGTATCCGAATTAATTGTGGGAGACACTTCTATACTAAACGCCCAACATTGCTAACACTCCTCTTACAATATGAACCCCTGTATTATTACGATACCTTGGTCTTCACTGATCCTCGACTGATCAGTAGACAGTTTTTCCTCCAGTTTTGAACCAAAAGCTGCTTGTTCTGACACTAGTGTCTTGTGCGCATTTAGAGCCATCTGCAACCACAAAATACATTGGTTTTGTATTGTAATGATTAAAGGGTCGATTAAACCGTTGAAATGCAATACACAAGTTGTTTTATAAGTAGAAAAATTACTATGTCTATAAAAAAGAAGGGATTGATTTTTTTAACTTTTTTTTTTTTTTTTATATCACTAAGAAATTGGTGACTACTAATTTAAAATAATTACAGAAAACAAACATTTCTGAAAACAACACATTAAAAAATAATTTCTATATTTCCCAAAAAGGAAAATGTTAGAATTCTTGTTAAGACTTACCTGAAGATCTTGAATCTCTTGTTTCAAAAGTTCCATTTTTGACTCCACAGAACTTTCTTCAGAAACAATCTTATCGCTCAATTCTGCTCTCTGTAAATAAAAATCATGATGAACAAACCAGTTTCAGATTTCTGAGATAATCTAACTATAATTCTGTAAGAATGAAGTTCAACAACAACTGAACAACTGAATGAAGAATCGTGCTAATTCTCTTGGACCAATTACGCTTAAAGACAGTTGTTGTTTCAAGTATAGTGATGGTTTAAAATTAAAATGTTTGGTTAGGCTTCAAAGGTAAATATTGATGGGTATTTATGGGTAATAAAAGAGTAACTAGCCAAGGAATATTGACCAGTTTCAAACAATCAAAAAGTTTTCTTTTCTTATGATCAAGTTTAGTTTCATTATGGTATTCATTAACTGATTAAAACCATGCTAATTCAGTATTTTTTTACTCCGAGTGAGCAGAGTATCTAATAGTTTAAAATGTTCTACACTATCAAAAGCTCTTGTCAGATCTAAAAAAAATCTGTTTTGTTTTGCATGAAGATTAGTGATTAATTTACACAAATTGTTTTCTGCCCGTAAGATATGCATTAAACCATGCTAAATCAGTGTTTTTCTACTCCTTTTTTTAGCAGTAAATATCTAATAGTAATAGTTTAATATGTTCTACACTATCAAAAGCTCTTATCAGATCTAAAAAAATTATCTGTTTTGTTTTGCATGAAGATTTTTATGGTAAAAAACTAAAAAGTCATAGTTCTTATAAACTTTTTTTTTTAATTTTGAAACCTTTTTCAATTTTAGAGGCATTCACAAAATCCATGTTGTATATTTGAGTAAAAGTAATCATAATATAGGATGACGGAAGGTTTTAAGTCTATCAAATTTCTTAAACATAAAAAATCAATAATACAACAAAGACTCACCACTTTGTCCACTTCCAAGTCTATTCTGTCCACAGCAGCCTTCAACGTAGTTTCCACCTGCGCCTGGTTAGACAGCTGTTTCTCCTTCAACACCTGATCAAACTCCGTACTGCTGAGCAGACGACGGACCAGTGCAGCCAACAGCTGTTGATCTCCCAGCAGATGGTCCCAGTTGGCAGCACTACTGGTACTAGGTGGGGGTTGGTTAAACTGTGACTCGTAATGTGGCGCGGAGGGAGTATAATCAGGGGTTGGTGGAGACGCTGGCCACGATATCTAGTCATATACAAATTGTGTTTAAATAAATTTTTAATGGTATTGTTTGTTGTTTAAAGGAGTAAGGGATGATTGAGGATATTTTCTATCAAAATTAGTAAAAAACGGTCTTAACAATGTTTAATACAAGATTCACAACCAATCCAAAACTGTAAAATCACAAAACCAAAACAATTTTTACAGAGGTCAAATCAAGAAACAATTCAAAAAGAGGAATAAGAAAACAATGAGTTCAAATAGAGGGTAGGCAAATATAATGGAGTAGCCTGCAGAAGACTCCAGCCAAGAGTACAACACAAGATAAAGGGTATCTTTACCTACCCTTATCATACTTGTTGTTTTCGTATTTCTTGTTTTGACAATTAGAAAGATCTCTGTGCGGTTTTTGTTAGTGATTTTCCAGCTTCAGCTGGATTAGTGTAATAATCTTTAATGTTTAAGGTACTCTATTATTACCTGAAGGTAGGACCAGATTCCATATCCCAAACTTTGTAAAATCTTTGATCTTTTTACTAATCATGATAAAAAATATCCGCAATAATCGCTCAAATAACAGATAAAATTTATTTTAAACAACTAAACATATTAAAATGACAAATGTGACATGACAATTTGCTGTGACATTACAATTTTTACCATGGCTATAAACAAATATTAGAAAAGAGTTTAATCAAATATTTTAAACACTTACTTCAACACAAAAAAATCCATAAACTATTTTATAACCAATCCTAAAGTCAATACTTTTGCAGATTACTATTTGACAACTTACGGATTGCAAAGGCGCGACTAAGGCAGCGAACCCAGACACTACAACAGCAGGGATTCCGATTATTAACTCGTAGATCCAAAGCAAAGCTGTTGACAGAGCGTAAACCACGGTGGAATAGGTTGTTGCAGCTCCTTCACCTAGAGTGGCAACAGCACTGGCCGAGTAGGATCCTAAACTGGACAGCAGTGCGGAGAAACTGTAACCAGAATAACTATTAGGAGTGAATTGGAAAACATATAATAGATTTATCAGCTATTAGAAGATTATAAAAGAGTGGTGGTGCATAACTAACGCTATTTTGAAATTCAGATTCCATAATAGAATATTTGAGTTTTTTTTCTGTAAAAAGTATGGATACATGAGTGGTATACAGCGGTTTGCACGAGTTGGAAACAAGATTTTACTTTGGAACAACAGTTTTTAAGTTATAAACCCTCGAATTATGGTGTATTCTAAGACATTAATTAACAACTGAATCACGAACCTGTAAAACGGCCACGTAATCCAAGCAGTGACCCCACTAAAATCCAAATCCCACGCCTCCTCAATCACATCGTCCGTGGAAGTGTTATCGGCAGAGCTTTCCCACCATCCGACCAAGGCAATCCACGGGTAAGATATCCACGAGCCGTCGAACCACTGGATCCCCGAGGACATACAGGATATGCTCCAGCCTGCCAGGAATGACAGGGTGTCCCAAAAGTACAAGAATGGGGCAGATGTCCAAGCAGTCACTGTTTCTAGGACGGGTGAAGTATCTTCTTCAGAGAGCCAAGCATAGAGGTAGTACGCTGGAATACAAAATTATTTTGAAAAACTTAGATTTTGAGTTGAGAATATTATGAATAAACAACCCTACATTGTTTTTTTTACTCATTACTTCAGGCTAGACCTAGGGTTACGGCATTATCACTTAGATAAAATACATTGGTGATTAGGAGAGATTTGAACCTAGGACCTCAGAGACAGAAGTCCCGTGCTCAACCACTACACCAGCTTCTTCCCCCAAGCCTACATTGTTAGGACAATATAAGAGATAGTCAATTTTCAAACTAAAAAACAGTATCACATGGTGAATAAATTATTTCTATAAATATAACAAATCCCTTGTAATCTAATAGTGACAGTAAAGGTTAGTTGGTTTTGTGATTCAAACAAAAGAATATTTACAGTAAAAAATTAACTAGAGCTAGTTTAACAACAGAAAAAAAACAAAAGGGAATAGGTACTTTGTGGACAATAAAAGAAGACGTAATTTAACGCTACTCCATATTTACAATTATACGCTTGTATTAATTTGCAAGACTATTTAAAACATTTTGAACTTTGATATTGTTTCATTGCATTAGTTATCATTAGGACTTTTGGGGGACTGGTTATTCATAAAGGAATTTCCAGTAGGAAGTGAACAAATGCAAAGGTACTGCAGGTAATGCAAAATACAGCCAATTAAGAGTGTCCTAGCAACCTACCTAGCAAATCAATATGTAATTTGAACCTCTTTCTATGAGTTAAGCTTAGCAAGTGATTTTGTTGTATAAATCATAACAATGTTCTTTTAAAATAAAAATAGCTAAAGAAACGGTCGTTAACACAATTTACTTTGCCTAGTCAGTAAACCTTAAAATAAACCTTGATTGATTTCCACCTAATGCTTTATAAGATTACTACAATTAAATAGGAAAGGAATACAACTCACCATAGCACCACCATAATCGATTGATTTGATTTTCCGCCTCTTACAATCGTATCATCGACCCCAGTTGTATTCCCTTCCTTCAAAGACACTAGTTAAACTGTTATTTAAATTTAATAGTTTTTTTCTTAAAAATAAAAACAGGATCGTATTGGTTTATACTTAAGAAAAGTTGTAGAAGCATAATCGTTAACAATCAAACATTTGTCATGATAGTAGCCATAGCCTTTCAAGGAGGTTATAAAGCAGAAAAGAGCTACTTTCTTAAAATCTAGCACATAAAATTGATACACTACTGTTGATTATAGTAACAGAAACTAGATTCTATCACTGAAGCCACTCATTTGATCAAGTTTGACAGAACCAAATTTAATAATTTTATCAAAATATAAATGGAATAAATGTGAACAACACAAAAAAACAGCAGCTTTCTGAGTCAGAATACTTAAACGGGAATAGTTGTAATTTTACTAGTGGATACTTTGATTATCTTTGTACAACATTTCAGCTGATATGGTCCAGGTTTTTTTTTTATGACACAATCTAACGTATGAATTTCAAGGACATGGTTCAATGCGGCTAAACGCTGCAGCAGTGGCGATGAAGTAGACTGACAGATACATAAATCCATGCAAAGTAAATTATATTGTTTTTTACTTCAGTGTCCAAACTAAAACTCAAAACCATCGTAACATTGGAAAAGCGATCACGTCAACATTTGTGAGGATCAGTTGTAGCTTGTAATCGCAGCGGTTTCACTATAATAACATGATCATGGGAATGACCTTACTCCGCAATCACAAAAACATGGTTGTCATTTATCGCGAAAAAAGGGAACCAACAGAATGCCGTTATGGACTGACTTGGGGCTGACATATAGACTATTGGCAGCAATTATTTCAATATTGCAGAATGATCCGCTGAGGAATTTATACACAATCTACAGGACATTTTTGTCCTAAAATGCTGTAAAAGATTTTGAGTCTTTCCCGTTTCCCGGACCACTAGACACCCTGGTTATTAATAAGTTTATTACAATGTTATTTGCAATGTGCAAACTATTTAGTATGTTATTTTAAGTCACTAAGTTTTTTATGTGTTTTAGTTTTGGGTTTGCTTGTAAAAAAGAAACAACCCAAGTCTGCCACCCATACTTTTGAAACTACCTGCTCCCAATTCTTGAACCACAATCACAAAATAAATACACCTTTAAGTCACAGAATTACAAAATACATTTTTCTACAGCCTTAGCAACCTTTTGTCAAAGATTAAGAACTTTTTAGTTAGGAACAAATTATTAGGTATTGAGAATTGACTTTGAAAAAGTGGTATTAAATTCATCAATGCTTGTTTTATGGTTTGATTATTGAGATTTGTTGGTATGACTTATAACCTATGTCTGATAGCCTATTAATATACTTTCTGGGGGAAAAAAGTACCAAGATATTGTTAGTTTTTTTAATTCCACAAAAATAACAATTATCTTTGGATATAAAATAGTATAAACCTATATACTAGTAGGCACCATAAGGGAAAAAGCACCATGATTAACAATAATAAGTGTAAGCTAAGCTATGTTAAGGCTTTGTGATGTTAATAAGCTTAACTTTATATAAATATAAATGTTGAATATGTCACCTATATATGGTAAACTAATACTATGGTAATATGATTATAAAATTTGCTCATCAAATTATAACTTATTTTTCAAATTTATAGACGAATTAAAAATAATTATTTTTTTCAAATCACTGTTTATTAAAAATGACTACTACAGAATGAATTTTATTATTTTTCCATTTCATAAATTAGGCTTGACTTATCCTTTTAAAGGAAAAAATTGTGTTAAACTTTTTAAAAGTGTTTAGAGTTTATTACCAAATTACTTTTATTTTCAATAGAATGAAAATTGCACAGGGAATCTAAAACCTATTAGTTTACTAAATAAAGCTTGAACAGCAAAATATTATAAATTATAAAACTTACAAATTAAAACAAACGTAGTTTTTACTTAGTATGAATACTGTTGTGTGATGTGTGTTTGATTTGATTTGATGTAAAACTGTAATAACTACCTGCTACAGCTACATAATGTTGGAATGTAATTAAACTATACCTTTGGTGTACATATAATTCTAATAAACATGGCACTCTGAGAAAAGAAAAATATGTTTAACAGATACAATCTACAGAAAACAGTACAAACATGCTTAATTGTAAATGGAATTGTAAAGCAGTCTTCAAAGTTTCAAGTCTTACAATGTTTTTGGTAAGGCATTTACAAAGAGTAAAAATTAAACATTCTAATGTTGTAAAAAAACTTATCCATTCTCCATGTTTGGTTTTTACAAAAAATAAATTCAAACTTATTACTGCTCAAGTTACATGGTTATTTTAAACAAACACATTTATGTGCAAAGAAAAAATATATCAATTAGTAAAGATTATCAAAGTTGTAGATTAAAAATACTATTCTAATGTTAGCACACATAGCTAAAGAAAATATAAAATAAATAAATAAACACCAATTCTTGGTTAGAATGTATAGATAGACTATAATATATTTTTCCTGTCATTTATTCATCTCATGACAAAATCTTTTTAGAGAATGCCTCTTACCCCAAAGCTTATGATATAGCCTATTGCGACTTTTCATATATTAGTATGCAATAATTATAAATTTACATTTATTGACAATTAATTTCAACAAAAGAACCTAATTGTTCCCTACATTAAAAAAACCAAATCCCTTTTTCATATTTAAACAATTGTATTTATCAATCAAAGAAAAATCTCACTAAAAATTGTGCTTTTCTTATAATTTTCAACTTTTGAATGGTCTAAGTACCAAACATTTCTTAAAATCTTAAAAAAAAAATTTCTCATAAACTAACAACCAATTCTTAACTAAAGATTTAAGAAAACACAAACCACATGACCAAGTTTACTGCACTACACAAAATTCCATTTTAACCAAATTGTATTGTAACTAAATTTGATTTTATACCTTACAATGTTAAATAATATACTTAAAGCTCGTAAAAAAACCTTTCAACTCGTGTACTGCAGTAAATAGTCAACACTAAACTATCGAGTCTACGGGTGAAAACATTGTGTATTCCCAATTGGAAATGTTGAACACACGTTCAACTGTGTCTTTTGAAGGAAAGGAAAATTTAGCAGAGAGTAAACCTGCAAAAAATCAATACTAATTACTTACCTGATATTAATAAGTTAGACGCTTATTTATTCATCTGATTTATTGTTGTTTGCATGATCATGTTCACTTGCTTGCTATATCAATAACTGTGGAAAAACAACAGTTTGTCGTCCAGTACATGTGTTATTTTTTTACTAATTGTATGGTAATATTTGGGGGACATTTTTAAATTCATGAAAAACACATTGTTTTGAAATTAATTAACAAAATCTCATGAGGTAGGGATGTGAATTAGGCTAACTGATCAAGTATTGTAAACTTGATATTTCAATAATTTTTCAGATTTGTTTACTGTTATTTAATTAGCAAACTTTTAATCTAAAAAAACATGTTGTTAATGTTGCATAGAATAAATATTTTGTTTTAAAGGACCTGTGGGTTCTCGATATTTTTGAGTTGGATCGAGCCAACGTCAGTGATTTCGCAATATCCGCTGAGAAGATGTTTTCAATTTCGATGTGTCCGCAAAAGATGTTCATGATTCATCGTGATGTAGGGGGAAATAATGTACAATAGTAAACCAACCAATTGTTTGTATAGCAATTAAAATGTTTTAAAATCAATACTTTTCATAGTAACCCGATTTTGGTCCGATACCCAAGGGCCAAAATATTTTACCCCACCCCACCCAAAGTAAAAGTCTGGCCCGCAGACCCCTAATTAATTTTACTGGTAAACCATCCAACACTTAATTTTAGTAATAAACTTCAGCCAAGACAACACATACAAAAAAGGTTGACAAAAAGTTAACTAAAAAAATATTTACAAATAATTAATTAAAGACTCAATACTAACCTGCCCAAAGTAAGATAGGAATCAATAGAAGTATCAAGGCCCATTTTCTTCTCTGTTGTGAAGTTCCCCATTTGTCCACTTGAAGTAGAGAGTTGACCTGAAAATAATTTAGCGTAATTTAAACCAATAACTAGTCATGGTTAGGACTTTGGTTATGGATAAAACTAGACATTCCATTGAATTTAAATTGTTTTCATGATAAGGATTAGCAAGTTCTAGAATATAAATGAACATACTTAAATTGAAGCACCAATAGTGTGGCATACAAAGCTGTGATTGATGTTAGGATATTAATTGATTAACGTAGGTGTGTGATGGTCAGGCAGTTATTGAGCGTATTTTTTAGTTTGAGCCCAAAGCCCAGTTTTGGCTATTGCCCTTAATATTGGCAATCGGTCAGTGGAAGCGTGTCGCAACTCCGCTAGCCAGCATTGTCTTGCAATTTATTTGGGGTTTTATTGAGTGTCACAAAGTATTGAGTACATTGATTGCTACATCACGTTCGCTTGTTTGGATCGTGGCATGGAATGTATGGCCTAATTGTTCTGCTGACATGAGGTGTCATCATTCCGTGTGACGTGTAGGACTGCCGAACCTGGGGGTAGCCAGTCAATAGGGTTTGAAGAGTCCATGAGCCACGGTTACGCGCTATCTTTCCCTCCCCCGCGGGTGTCATTCAAGTTTTTAAGAAGGGATCAAAAGTAAACATAAATAATTATCGACCAATCACCTTACTATCAAACATATCAAAAATTTTTGAAAAGGTTATGTGTGATAACCTAAGTAGATTTCTTGAAAATAATTCTTTCTTTCACAATTACCAATTTGGCTTCAGAAAAAGCATGAACACTCAAACAGCTCTATCAAATTTTGTTAATAAAACCATGTTGGCCTTGGATGAATCACAGTATGCAGCTGGTGTTTTCTGTGATTTGTCTAAGGCATTTGACTGTGTCAATCATGAACTTCTAATTCACAAACTTAGTAAAATTGGAATAACAGGTAACATTCTTAAATGGTTTAGATCATATTTGGCAAACCGTAAACAAAGAACTCTCATCATAAAAAAGGGAATAAAGTACTATTCAGACTGGATAAATACAGAATGTGGAATTCCTCAAGGCTCAATTCTGGGGCCTTTATTATTCATCATCTATATCATACTGTTTGCAGATGATACCACTGCTTTTGTGAAAGGCAACTCAATGTCGGATGTGCAAATTTCAGTAAACAAAACTTTGGAAGATCTCTGTGAATGGTTTACAGCTAATGGTCTGGCACTAAACAGTGATAAAACAAACGGCTTATTTTTTAAAAGTCAAACATGACAGATATTTCACAACAAAAATTTCTCGGAGTGATCATTGACCAAAAACTAAATTGGAAGGAACATATTGATTATTTGTTAAAAAAATTAAGATCATTATTTTTTGCTTTTTCAGTTCTTTCTCAGTGTGCATCAAAAAATGTTACCAGAATAGTTTATTTTTCCAACGTAGAATCGATTTTGAGGTATGGCATTACCTTATGGGGAAATTCAACAAATAGTAAAAAGATATTTTCATTGCAAAAAAGATTCATTAGAAATATGGCAAACGCTAAATTTAGGGCTCCCTGATAAAAAAACATTTCAAAAATCAATCTATATTAACTTTCCCCAGCCTGTTCATTTATGAAAGCCTTAATTATGTCGATGAAAATAAAAAAGATTTTGAAAAGTTCTTAATAAAAAATAAATACAACACTAGAAACAAGAACCTTTACAGTTACCCAATCCATCGGACAACAAAATTTGAAAAATGTCCTTTTTATACAGGCCTGAAGCTGTACAACCATTTGCCGAATAAATTTAAACAATTGGCAGTAAATGTTTTTAAAGTTAAAATTAAAGAAATTCTACTGGATAAGAATTTCTACTGGTTTTATTATTATTCCATCTCAGACTTTTTAGCAGACACCTCCTTGGGTTAGTCATTGTACATTTTTTTTATTGTTATTGTAATTTTCTATGTTTTATGTAAAATGTTTTTTCCATGTTATTTTATTATTAAGATTTATGTAATTGACAAGACACCAGTTACTGCTATAAGCACCTAATGTAACGTTATTTGTGTCAATAAATTTATTTGATTTGATTTGATTTGGTGTCCGTGGGGGTGGGCATGTCCGCACTAAATCACTTTTACATAGGCTATATTTTTAATTGATAGTAACTTATAAAAAATCACTTTGTTCATTTAACATAATAAATTAAGTGTTGAATTCTCTACTAGCTGCATTCGTTATTGAGTTTTCTGCCCTTACCTTTCGAGGTTGCTACAGGTGAACTGAGCCACGGATGCAAGCGATTTGGAGTATGGCTTATGTCAATTTTTCATTACTGTCGAATATCAATATGCCAACTTTTTAACCAAGCCAGACTAAAAGAACTAATTATTGTAAACTACTGCATCTTCTGTGTCAAATCAAATAACATGGTAGGCTAACAGAAACTTAAGGAGAAAATCGATTTTTGACAGCAGCGCCCATTTACCTAGATGCATGCTCGATTATTAAAAATTGGGCTATAGGAGGTTCATATAAATGTCTTTTTATGTATCTAAAAGTAAATGCTAGGTCCAAACCAAAGGTAGAAAATAGAACTTTAGATACTGGCGCAATTTGTGACTGTCTCATTCAAGTAGGCCTATGTTCTTTTTTAATAAAAAAGTGGCAACTGGCGGTCCATATAGATAATATGTCTGTCTAATCCAATATCCAAAAGTCAATGGTGATGGTAAATAGAAGCTCAATTGCAGCACACTCTTGAGCCGCTCACTCGACTATGTTCTGTTTGAACGGAAAAGTAACCTCTTCAAGTCATATAGATGGGATATCGGCACTGCCACCAGTACTAACCTTCCACAGCAGCCATACGTCAGCTTTTTGTACTGCCAACGCCATCTTGTAAAGCCACAATACAGGATACTGATACCATGACACATCTGTCGTCTGCTTCAGCGGAACTCTTGCTGTAACAGAACCACTGTTATGTACATGTACGTAACACAGGATTCTGGGTGTTAAACATATTTTCTGTTTCCATATCTTAGGTAGATAAATATTCAGTAACATCTTAAGATGATTTCACTTAAACAAAGATAACAACTTTAGTGTGTAGTGCATTTCGTTGAGTTAGAAAGTATAGAACCAAAAAAGTGCAAGTTGAAACTGCATAGAATTCAGAGTACAGATAAACTTCATGGAATTTCCAGGACATTTAAATATATAGTCAGGTAGTAAGCTTTCTTGCACTCAGTTTGGAGTCAGGACTTTTGTTTTAATCATTTGGTTTGTCTGGCTACACTATAATACACATGTTTGACGTAGTGATTAAATGTTTATGAATGTGAATGTTTCTTCAAACTGCAAGTAGGACAAAAGTGGTTACAGAGAGAAATGCAGGAGCGAGGAGTTGACAATATGGTATGCATTGTGGTAAAACAATCAGAAAGTATAGTTAAGTTCAGGTGCTTAAAGTCCGGAGCGTATCTTTTGTATTATTCCAGGGTGGCCAATTGAATATCGTTATTGGTGAATTTATGAATTCTTCCAGATTTAAGAATCAGCACGAAGAGGGTCGCTAGGTTGACCACAAAACGAGGGGAGCTCTAATATAACTCGAAAATGGATGTTAAGAAATTTAATAATTTTTCATCAAATAACCATTTACATGCAAACCAGAATGGCAGAATATACATATTAGTACCCATAGTACATAAATTGGTACGTTACGGTAATTCAGGAGGGGTAGGCTGGGCAAAGCTTAGTCTAGAAATTATGGTCTGGACATTTGACTCCCGTATTATCACAGGAGCCATGCAAACGGACCCAGCACACCCACTAGTACAATGATTTAAATTCAACGGTTGAAGCTAACTGGCCTGATAAGCAGTATTGACCTCAGCCACCGTCAGGAGCGGCAAATTCAAAATTCAATCAATCCTAGAATGTCATAATTAACATAGGTTTAAAATTTACTAATAAACTAGGCCTATGTACTGGCATAGTGTACAGACAAGGGCGGAAAAGCTGTGTACCGACTATCCCCAACAATGTACAATGATTGTATATTGTATTGGTTAGGGGTCGACGGGGCCCCGAAATTTTCGGGTCAGGTCGGGCCAACAACAAGGCCCGATGGTCGGGTCGGACCAAGAATAATAACGGGCCAAAATCGGGCCGGGTCAGAAAACTCAGAAATATATCATTATTTTATGCCTGAAATGTACTGTTTCATTTATTTCCTACCCAACTTCCCCACATTAAACCATGCTTTCGGGCTAGACCAACATTTTACTTGTTAGTTATTAAGTAGGAAGCAAGGTAAGTAAAATGACAACATTCGCAGACGGCAGAATAAGCCTAACTGTAACAACAACAACTGGAACTGGATTAAAAGTACAACCATCTGTTTGAGAGTTAGAGAGAGGGAAAAGAAGTCCCGCAGTACCCGCACTGTGGGATGTTTATTTCATAATACGAAGTTACGATAGTGAATCGGCAGCGTAATTTAGATCCGAGCTACATCCATAATAGTAATAAAAAAGTATTTTTAAAGTCGTTATACATTTCTAGTTTCGTAAGCAAATGCACTTTGTAAAACAGCGTATAAATTAAGAGCTTCCTAAACGTATTTAAGAAATGAATTACAATTAGAATCTCTCATAAGCAAGAGTTGAGTGTAGTTGTACAGCTGTTGCCTATTATTGGACAGATGAAAATAACGGCAGGGTTACCATTGACAACTATACAAAGAATAAAGAATACATAACCCAATCTTACAAGCCAACAAATGAAAGAAGGTGGACACCGTTCAATAGTTCCGAGAGCCGCCGTGAGCGCTAGCAGTAGTTTTTTTTTCGTTTCATTGTAGACACATTACACAAATAGCCCAAAATTCCAACAGGCTACCGAAAAATTGTTGTTTTCATTAATCGGTCATGACTCCGCTTTGAAACGTAAACACGCTGGAGTGGAGCTATATATTCTGTAAATAATAAATATAAAAGTGGACGGGCAGCGTTCAATAGTTCCGAGAGCCGCCATGAGCGCTAGCAGTAGTTTTTTCGTTTCATTGTAAACATATTACCGTACACAAACAAATAGCACGAAATTGCAACAGGCGACCAAAAAATTGTTGTTCTCATTAATGATTCATAACTCCGCTTTGAAACATCAACACGCTGGAGTGGAGCTATATATTCTGTAAATATAAAAACTAATCAAAGTTTCTAGTAAAAATGTGCGAATTATGTTTACGGAATTGAAATGAAAGACTAATATTCCATTCCTCCGACTTGCACGCTAATAGTTAATTCACGATCAGAGTAGTTCGTTTTAAAGGTCATCGGCTGAATTTTGATCGCATGTAATATTTATAATAATCACTCAAGATATCTACTTCAAATGATAAATAATTGTTTACCATGACATGTTCCATGCTTGAAAAGCGGGTTTTCTTTCTCTATGCACTATGCGGACAGGTCTGTAAACTGTTCCTGTAACTCTGTCTCACATTCTAGCCTATGGCTATGTCTTATTTTTTTCGATTAAATTGGCTATTGGCTGTGCGTGTTGTGACAGTGACAGTGATACACCGATACACTGATACGTGACATGGTTATTGGTTGTTTTGTTTTTGTTTATTCGATGATATTTTAATTGTAATAATAACTTCGATGTCAGTGGCTTTTAGTTTAAGTGAAGAGTAATTATCTTCGTATTTTTTTTTTATCAAATGAAATAAATGGATGTTGATCAAGGAGCAAGCACCAGCGGCGGCGGTGGTCGAACTTTGCCGGTTAAAAACAATCCTTTATGGAGCTATTTCAAGAGAGGGACAAAAGATGAATGTAAGTGTAACTTTTGTTTGCAAATATTAAAGTCCCGATACGGTAATACAACTAGCCTAAGACGGCATTTGGAAAGGAAACATTATGTACACTACACGAAATTCCTTAAAGAAGAGGAAGAGTTTAAGAAGGAAAAGGCTAGCAAACCTAGGCCTAAGCCCCATACTGATACCAGCAGCAGTTCCACCCAACTCGGTATTGATAAATTTGTATCTCAAAAAGAGAAGTATGGTCAAAACCACCCTAAAACAATAGCGGTAAAAAATGCTGTTACAAGATGGATGGTTGAAAGTCTACATCCTTTTAGCTTGGTAGAAGAGCCAGGCTTCTTAAAGGTATTAGAAATCGCTGACAGTAAGATTAGTTTGCCTTCAGCTAAAACCTTTTCAAGATCACTTGTTCCTGAACTTTTTGAAAAGACAGTTAGTAAAATTAAATGTGAGCTAGACAGCGAAAAACCTACACTACAGTCACTGTCAATCACAACTGACATGTGGACATCCATGAACACAACAGCATACCTAGCAGTTACAGCCCAGTATGTCACAAAAGGTTTATCACTGACATCGTGTTGCTTAGGATGTCCAGTTGTAAAAGAAGCTCACACTGGTGAAGTGATAAGTCGTGAGCTTGCTAAATTGTTGAACAAATGGGGCTTAACAACAATCCCTTTATACTGTGTGACAGATAACGCATCCAATATGCGCACAGCAGTATCCCATATGCAAGAGGTCACTCAGCTGCTATGTTTTGCCCATACCTTAAACCTAATGGTAAAAGATACCAAAAAAGATCACAGTGGGCTTGACTCTTTACTGCACAAATGCAAGAACATTGTTGGACATTTTCGTCACAGTCCAACGGCAAAAGCTAACCTTCATTCTCGGCTTAAACAGCTTGGAATGAAAGAACTAGAGCTGATACAAAATGTGGAGACCCGTTGGAATTCGGAATATACAATGATGGAAAGGCTCTGCACTTTGAAAGATGCCATTGTAATAGAGCTTAGTCAGCCTAATTGCAATATTGACAACCTGACATCTACAGAATGGAGTTTGGCTAGCTCGTACACGAAAATTCTAAAACCCATCTATGATGCTACAGTTCATGTTTCATCGGAGACGAATGCGACAAGAAGCATGATAATTCCAATTTTGTATGGCATAGAAAGCAGCACATCCCTAATTATAGACAACAGAGAACAAGGAGTCATGTTAGCTAAAAGTTTGCTCAAGTCTCTCAGAAGTAGATTTCCTGTTTACATGGACAATACTTTAGACCAAACATGTATGGTTTTGGACCCAAGGTTCAAAACTCACGTTCTGAAAGATCATCAGAAAAATCTCGTGCTTGAAAATTTGAAGTCAGAAATTGTTAATGCTATTGCTGAAGATGAAACTGCTCCGACTCCGATTCAAGGTCCAGTTGAAGAATCGTCAAGCAGTTCAGTCTCAAGATCTCAATTGTTCTCAATATTTGAGACTTCTCAACCATCTAATCCAGTCCAAACCGGTAGAAGAACATTAGAGCTTCAAGGTAGGTGCATTAATGTAACTTAAGTCTTACTTCAAAAGTTTTTTTTATTTGGCTATATTATATAAGGCGTATGCCCTAGGGCCTTGATAATATAATATACATTACATATTAACTTATCACATTTACATTACAAGAGCAATGAAAATTCTTAATTTGCCTTTGATCACGATTTACATGGAAATTGACAATGTCAAGTTACAATACAAGAGAGCACCGATTACATGCTTCAAATACTTAAATTTTACTTTATAACAATAGGCCTAGGCCTACATCTTTTCTATCTACAGCTACATACCTTGAATTTCAATAACCAAATCTAATTGCTATCCTCATTTAGTTGAATTTTTTAGGTTTATTTTTTTATGTACCTAGGATAACAAGAACAAAATTTAACTTAATCATATCTTGAACTAGGCTACTGGAAAGAGCTCTCTAGGCCTACATAAGTAAGTATAAAGTACAATGAATGCAATGGGCAAACTAGGACTGACTTACTTAATATCTTGAAAGAAAGTTGTCATTGAAAGGAAATTAGGTTATAAAACTTAAAGTAAGCCTATAAGTAAATAAAAATCATACATTGCCTTGTGGTGTTTTAGGTGAACTACAGCTTGAGGCATATCTGAAGGAAAATCGAATAAAAATAAACGATGACCCATTTCAATGGTGGCAGGAAAATGGCTTCAAGTATGGACTGCTACTACCCTTAGTAAGAAGGTATTTGGGCATCCCAGCCACGGAAGTAGCATCGGAGAGGGTTTTCTCTTCAGCCGGCAACGTAATTACAAGCAAAAGAACAAGACTTCTGCCAGAGAATGCCGAACGGCTTATATTCTTACATCAAAACTTAAAAAAATTGGATGTTTAGGACATTTTTGTGAAACTTTGCTCTAGGTTCTAGTGCTGTGCTGTTGTATGTAAATTCAAAGATCTCTTATACTTCACTTCTAACCAAAAATCAAAAAGTGAGCTAGTTTTTTATGTTTGTTTTGATGCTTTTGTTAAGCATATAGCTTTTAGTTTCAATTTGTTATGTAGACTTTATAATTTATTTAGGCTAAGTTATTATTTCATTTCCATGATACCAGTTTCAACTTGTGTTTTGTTTGATTGTTTTGAACTCTATAAAGATCTCTTTTGTATTTATAATTGAGGAGATTAAAAAATGTTTTTGTGTTTTACGTCATATTCATACATATACATACCTTAACTCTTAACTGTTATGTATGCTCTTAGACTGGGAGGTATGATTAACTTTTTAATTATTTGGTTTTTTGGTAAGCCCCTATTTTTATGTGTTGGGTGTATTTTACTGGCTTGTTTAGTGATTTTTTGTTACCTTCCATTTAAGACTGTTACGGATAACAAATTATTTATTTGTAGGCCTATGTTTGTTTAGGACGTTTAGGTTAGGCCTGTTTTGAACTCTATAAAGATCTCTTTTGTATTTATAACTGAGGTGATTAAAAAATGTTTTTGTGTTTTACGTCATACTCTTATACTTCTAACCAAAAATAAAAAAGTGAGCTAGTTTTTTATGTTTGTTTTGATTTGATGTTTTTGTTAAGCATATAGCTTTTAATTTTAATTTGTTATGTAGACTTTATAATTTATTTAGGCTAAGTTATTATTTCATTTCCATGATACCAGTTTCAACTTGTGTTTTGTTTGATTGTTTTGAACTCTATAAAGATCTCTTTTCTATTTATAATTGAGGTGGTTAAAAAATGTTTTGTGTTTTACGTCATATTCATACATACACATACCTTAACTCTTAACTGTTATGTAGGCTCTTAGACTGGGAGGTATGATTCACTTTTTAATTATTTGGTTTTTTGGTAAGCCCCTATTTTTATGTGTTGGGTGTATTTTACTGGCTTGTTTAGTGATTTTTTGTTACCTTCCATTTAAGACTGTTACGGATAACAAATTATTTATTTGTAGGCCTATGTTTGTTTAGGACGTTTAGGTTAGGCCTATTTTGTTTTTGTGTTTGTGTACAGAAGGCTATTATTCAAGCTAGATAGCATTGCTCATCTGTGAGTTTTTGACAAAGACTGAGAAGATACACGATTTGATTTCTGTTCTTTAGTTTATGGTAGGCATAAACCTATTTTGTATAACTGTATTCAATGTATTATGTACAGGAAATGAATAAAGTAGTTTTGAATTTAATTGAATTTTCAATTTTCATATTACAAGACTTTTTTTGGGGGGGGGGGGTTTGGGGGGTTAGGTTCAGGGATGTAAAACACAATCAGCAATTTCATTGGTACTTTTTTATTCAATAAAAACATGTGCAATATCATTTTTGTAAAAAAGGCTATTGGAAACGGCTAGTAAGGTTCGAATATTGAGCAGAGCCCGCGGCCCGACCCGACCCGACTCGACCCGAGGGTCAAAAAAATACCCGACCCGACCCGACCCGAAATCAAATAGCCTGACCCGTCCATCCCTAGTATTGGTATACTATGATTATCATTCCAGTCCTATCACACAATTTTGCAGTACTCGTTGGTCCAAAGGTAAAGTAAGTAAAGTATTCCTTTCCGGCTTCCAGTGAAGAAAAGCTAGATAACCAAAGATTCTCATCATTGACCTTAATAAATCAAGACCCTAAAGTAGATTTTGTAAAACTAAGTACTCTATAATTTTCTAATCTTCTGTCGTGTGTTGATACTAAAACTGTTTTTAAAGTATTGTAGCTTCAATATAACTCTTCCCATTCAAGGGTCATAAACTGTTCAAAGCCAGAGTATATTTTTTATTATTTTAAATAACACCCAATACAAAACCACAAATAAATTCCAACTTACTATCCACTGTGTCATACTGCTTGGTCTGTCTCAGTTGTATGGTCTCTGTGACCGTAGTCACGACTGTGGTCACAATAGTTGTCACAATTGTGAGTATCCAGCTAAACCAGGTCACGTGATTCTGACTATGTACCTGTGTCTTGGTGTAACCTACAACAGAAAATATTTTGTTATTTCACCTTTTAGGGCTTGATGAAATGTATAAAATATGGTATTTTAAATGTTATGTTTACATATAGGAATTGCTGAACAATTATTGTAATTATCATTGAATTGAGCCCTTGGAAATCAAGTGAAATTATGGCCATAATAGAGACCAAATAAGGCCAAAAATATTATTCGCACAAGTGGATTTCAATAGCCTGCAAGAGTGAGTAGGCCTTGTGTAAGTGTATTAATCTATTTGCAGTTCTACTTATTCATTAATATAACTTTATTACATTGCCAAAATTTAAAATATTGATGGAGAATGGTTTGAAGGATACTGCATTAAAGATCAAATACTCAGGACAGTATCCAAACAGAAATATTCAGATTATTGCAAGTGCCATAACCTTGCTTATGGTTTTGTATGGTTGTGGTTGGTTCAAATCTGAGGTACTGGTTTGATTTGAACCCAAGCGATGTTTCTGGATTCAGATTTAGTTTGGCATTCTATTAATGATGTTATCCCTCAAAGATCAATCAAAGATAGTAGAAAAAACAGGGTTGTTTTAATAAAAAAAGTAAAAATTGAAATACTGTATGGGGTAAACACACACACACAAATTGTTTGAAAACACGTTAATGAGCTATGTTGGACAAAGACTATGAGTTACAACAGTTCTAAGTTTGATTTTGTTTTAATAATACACAATACCAATATTGAAACTGTCAGACCATGAGTAATCAAATTTTAAAAAATGCAATTGTAGTTTATTAGATGTATCTTTACCGTAAACATTTAAAGATAATACAAAAGCTAATTGTGTACTAAGAGCGCAAATTACTTCATTGCCTCTCGTACATACATTTTTTCTATGACCTTAATTAACTTATCATAACATGCAGCATACAGATTAACTTTTTAGTTGTATATCAAGTGTTATTTAGGTTATGTTATTCCGGATGTTAGTGTTTCATAGAAACTCCAACAGTGAAATAAGCTGATTTAGCGAGCAGGATTGATTATAGCAGAAATTTGAGCTACCGGGTGTCAATAAAGTCTTGACACATTTGAAATAGTTTTTGTTCGTAGAATTGATGGGATTATACATGTTTATATATGTTGTTTAACAGCTGATTTTATCAAGTTTTGTTTGTATATGTTGGTAACCCATAATTTCATTGTTGAGTGTCATACCAAACAAAAGTTACAATTCTTGTGTCTGTCGTAAAAATGGCTATTGAGGAAGAAAAAGCTCAATGTCTTTTGTAACTTCACGAGTCGAATTCGCCTGTTTACTTTCAAAGACAGATCAGATTGCACTATGGGAGGCAAGCTACAAGCTATAGATAAATTATTAGTTGGTTTAATAACTTCAAGAACAATGGAAGTGTTGCGGACCTGCCGCGTTCAGGTAGGCCTACAATTTTAAAAGAAACCGTTTATGTCGTTAGACAATGCTTCACCCGCAGTCCACGTACATCAGTTCGCAAAGCTTCCAGGGAACTTTGGTTTACCACGTACCATAAGATTTTGCGTATAAAACTCAAACTAAGCGCATACAAGATTCAACTAGCGCAATTTTTGAAACCCTTACCGAGCTTCTTTTGCTAATGAAATTTTACATCTCATTCATGTAGATAACAACTATCTTAGACATCACACCTTTAGACTTCTTCTTTTGGGGCTTTGTGAAAGACAAGGTTATGCTACATCTGTCTCAGAAGTGGGCGTGTTGAAGACTAGGATCAGAGAAGCAATTTCAACAACTGGAGAGATGTTGGCAAGTACTTGGGAGGAGATTGACTTTAGACTGGAAATTCTACGGGACACAAATGGGTCACATGTGGAAGTGTACTAATGTTATATTAATTGTATATAAAACTTTTTTTCATGCTCTTTCTAAAAAATAAAATCTCACTTTTGTATGTCTAACGGTTTTCATTTTATTACACAACAAAATGTTGTCAGGACTTTATGGGCACCCAGTATTTTGCGTACTTAATACAGGTGTGGAAATGTGATAATTTTCATGCAGTGGTTGAAAAAAGATCAATAGATTTCAAAACTCACCGATGTGGTTGTCATAGGTCTCTATCTCGCTGTCACTGTCAAGCCCGGAGTCATTGAACTCTATCCTGCGTCTGGGCAGAGGTAGGTTCAGTCCAAGCAACTGTGTGTTGTTGTGATCAGAGTGTCCGTTGTTCAACATCGTATCTGTAACAAAAACTTTTGTTAAACAAATTCTCTTAAACAATTCTCTTATTGTCATTCGCCCCCTAGAATTTCATGTTTTAAATAGTAACGTGCAACCTTCCAAGACATTGTTTAGAGTTTAGGTTTTCTCTGCTAAGTATACTTGACACTTGAAGTGTTTGAGTTACGCACCTTTAACTGTTAGCTATACTAGCTTGGGAGAAAATGAATCTCATCTCTCAAAAGTATCTATGTTTTAGTGTTTACGGTGTTACGGTTTCGACAAGCACTTGATATGCTTGCCTTTGACATGCAATGTATCTGTGACTTTGCCCTGGAAATCATTAGAGAACAGCTACAGTTATACTGGAGACTAAATGCACGGCACGAACAGTAGGAAAACAATGTCATGGGGCGTTGAACATTTTGTTTGATTCGACTGATGGGGGAATTCATAACCACACGAGAGATTGAATTCTACCAGTGGTATTAGTTACCTAATGGGGTTCAGGTACTTCCTTCCATCAAATTCTTTGACACATATTTTTCAAGCAATTCTATGTATATTTCAATAAATAGTTAGAGGCACAGTTACTCACTGATGTAGTTGTTGTGTTCCGTCAAGTCCGGAGAGTCGTCCTGAGAGTACCTTGTGTACCTGGATGTCCGCGAGGTCGTGTAGTCATACCCCTCGTCAGCTGACCGCAGCGGCCGCCGACACAGGTTGGGTATCAGCGGTATTCCGGGCGCCAGCGTGCAGCCGTACAACTGGGAGCAGGGCGAGTATACGTTGTCAGTCTTCGGCAGCTTGCTGCGGACAAAGGTTGTATAGTAAAAAAACTATAAAAAAAGGTAGAAAACAGGAACTTGCATTTGAAATCATACTGAGGGACACAGCTTGCTACAGAAAAAATTGTGGATTAAAAACTTGGTAATTACTCAGCACAGTGAAATATAATAAGGAAATGAAACATGCATTACAAATCATATTGTATAATATGAAGCTCGCTGCTAAAAAAAGTGGTGGTTAAAAGACCTCATGCTTAAAGTACACAGCCAAATGACAAAATGAATCTGAATAGTTTTTGATCATGTGATGTTATTAAAAGCTTGCTTAGAAAATGAGAAGGGGTTAAAAAGCGAAGGTAACATAACTGCCTAACATTTCAAGTTTCACTGCCCCTCTCTGGCCAAATAAGTATTTCAGGAATATTTTTATTGAAATCAAAATTGTTGTTTATGGTACCTGGACTATTTTGTCAACACATTAGTAAATTTTACATACCTTCGTAAAATAGTCCTATGATTAATATTGCTCATCAGCTTACATGTATTGTCTGCTACCAACCCTGTGTCGCGCCGGACTAAATCAGTATTATTATGATAACACTATCTAATTGGGTGTGTATTCGTACCATTTTATGTTTATTACGTTCGTGTCGTCCTTGTTTTAATTGTTTTTTACAAGTTGCAAGCTTTGAAAATGTTGTCTTTGCAACAAAACATGTAAGCTGATGAGTAATACTAAGTATCAATAACGTTTTCATGTTTTCAAGATGTCCCCGATTCCCCCCTTCTTCAGTAGCTATATCAGTTACTACTACAGTTTGTTAGTGAGTATAACTCACTAACAAAAGTGTAAAATGTCTTAACTCAAGTTATAACTATAAATCTGAAAAAACGCTGTTTACTGAATTATAAAAAATTACCCATTGTAAAAAAAGCATAAAAAACTTGCTACAAAGAGTCAAATGGTAAAAATTCACTCCTCTTTGCTATACACACACTCATAACCAAACATACAATTTACAAACAAAACCATTCACTTTCAAACTGTTCAAACCCTAAATGAATCGTTAAAAGAAACTATACAATTTCCCCTCGTTCAATTAGCCATTGTTAAAACATAACAGCTGTTTTGATCCAAAAACAGCTGTGCGGCAGCTGACATAACAGAGGTTATACTTTATTGTGGGGAAGGAATGAGGGGGCCCGTGGACGGATAAGTAGGCCTAGGCCAACGGGCCAGCGGCCAGGTTACATACTGTTTCAAGGTCTTGCTCCTTATCTGATTACTTGATACCTGACTCGCCTTTCGTAACTGTTATCTCTTTGGCCGGTCGTGCTGATAAGAAAATAACGTCAATTCTCATTTACCATTAGGGACACCTTCTGCTACTACTAACATGCATTTCCTACAATCATAAAAGCTGTTAAAAAGGCTAAAAATATTTATTTTTATATGCATACTTAACAAAATGAAGAAAATGCAACGCATCCCGGGTTTTTCTAAGTAGTTAAGTTTATAAAGTGTATAAACGTTGTCCCCCAGCATTAAACTAAAAGATTCATTTAAAAACTATTACTCGTCATATTGTAACCAAAGATTAAAGCATACACAGTAGGTTTTAACATAAAATAAGGATGACACATGCCAGCCATTAGGATCAACTAAAGACAGTATTTTTGATAGATGTAGTAGGCTAAATGTAGATACTGTTGCGTTTTGATCTATTTTTGCACCATTGTTTGCTCTCACACAAAAACAACAACTTTAGATAAAAGGGCACATGTAGTACTTAACGGTATAAAAACGTTTGGTCGAACTCAGCGCTCTCAAATTCAAACGGACATAAAACAGACGTCAAAACAGGCGTTGGATTGTACAACGGAATAGATACTGTGTCTACTTATAGACAAAAAGGTATATACAGTTAAAGTAAACAGTTTAGCAGCAGTCTACAACAGTCACATAGTTATAAATCTTCGGCCTCACTTCTGGCCTTTTCTGGGCACAATGATGTCATAGCCAGCCCACGCTGACTTGTGAATCCTACACTAGCAATCCTGCTCATTGAATGCAGTCGACTATGTTTCGCTTAAAGTGTGTACAAGTCGTAATTACAAAATTAAATCAAGTTAAAACTCCTCAAGGTAAACTTTTTTGTCAGATTTTAAATGGTCCTACGCCAAAATGTCTCTAGCTACTGGTAGATCTAGTAAAAGAATGCAAGTGTTTCTAATCGTGTTTTTTTTTTACTTCGATTTGAAAACTTCACCTAAAGTATACACTGCATTGAGTTTTGTCTTTAGATAAGTAATGTCGACAAAGTACATTTTACCTTAATAAAGATAACAAAGTTTTAGAAGTATAGTAGTTCTTATGTTGACGTTTTATGTATGGCAAGAGGTTTATGTTAAATACGTAGTAATCTGTCCGCATTTTATAATCAATATGTAAAACCAAAGTGCAAAACCAAAAAAATGTAATAGGCTACAATAATATAAAAAATTACAACGTATTTAAGATTACGTCTTTAGAGAAAAATTATAGGCCCTATGTCATTGCATTTAGAGTGATTTTAATCGTATGAAATTATTGTATTTTTAATACTAATATTATTTGCGTGAAAAAACTTAGAAAACTTACCGTTGCCGACTAAATCTTGTTGTTATTGAACTAAACATTTCAATAGTCTTAAAAACACACAAATGGATGATTGTAAAACTAAAATCACACTTTAAAAACAAACTACCACTAAATTACGACATGCTGTCATGTCAAGTCACAAATAAAACTAAAATAAAACATGACTAAAAGTATTTGTTTGAATGAAAATTCACAAGCCAACGCACTCAGGACTAAACAAGTTAGGTTAAGATTACCCTACTCAAGAACTCGCCACTCGGCACAGACAGAACACAGAACTAGACACACAGAAAAATTAATTTGTCAAAAACTCGGTAATGTTTAAACAATCAGCTGATACAACCGACCGCTCCGGCGTCGTCCCGAAACTAACTGACATTCTGACTCATTTGAAGGGGGGAGGGGTAATAAGGGGGGGGGATAAAGAGTGTTGTGTTTGAATTCCTAGAAAATGGTTAAATCTCAAAACCACTCCTGCAGATAACACGCAATGTATTGGTTTGTACGATAATTTACCTCTATTTGTAAATTATAAGCCAATCAACCAATAGCTGCAAAAACTGCACTAGTTTTATGTAAACCAGCCATAAATTAGCAAAGTCATAAGGTATACCTGTTATCTGGGGGTTGTAGCCTCCGGATAACCAATAAATTTTGAATCTTTGAATTATTATAAGCGAGTGTAATGTGGTATGGTATCGGTATATTTAATATGATCAATATTCGATTTATCACAGATTTCATCGAGATATTTCATAAACCAGTGCAAGTTAAATGCCTGTATTTTATTATCTGGCCGAACCGGTGTACTTCGCACAATGATAAGCCAATAAAGCAGTGCCAGCTAATGTAATTAATACGTTTTTGAAGAAAGTAAAATATAATAAACCCATAATTGACAAGCAACAAACTTATATTAAGTCACTAAACCTATTAATAAACATCCCCGCTCGTCTTTTCAGTCTCGACAAAAAACACTACCTAGATTATTTTCTTGATAAATTGAAGATTGACAAACCCTACGTAATAAGAATACAACTATAGAACCATGCATGACTCATAAGCGAGTATTCACGTGGGTTTATAATTACAATAGACAGTTGTTGACAAGGGAAACGAAAAGTCAAATGCCACATATTCGATCCAAAGAAAAAAAACTTGGTTGTTTATATGGACAAAGAACGTAAAGGTAAAATGACTACTTTTAGTGGTTTTGGAAGTGTATTTAATGACAAATCTGTTTAATCTCCATAGTAGGGAAATAGTAAAGCCGCGTTTACACCGGAGTTTCAAACAAAAAGTTGCAAACTTTTATTGCAAACAGCAGTTGCAAACAGTAGTTTCAAATAAATGTTTGCAATTTTTATTTCATGGTTTTGTTTCCATATGTTTCATGAAAATGTTTGAAATCCTTTGGACCTTGATTATGATTAATCATTTATTGAAAAAAAAGTTCCACCTCGTTTTCCCATCGTCAGCCCCTGATCCCCGATCCAGACTTATTGCCCTTTTTAGATTCTCTATTAAACTAAATTATGAGGTTCCTAATTTTATTTTGGACCTCTACTTTGCTTAGGCCTAATTAAGTTCATTTCCCGTGAAATGCCATTCCATGCATAGTTTTTCTTGTTTTTGTTTTTATGGTCAGAAATAGTTTGATTCCACAGCACTTGTTGTTCTCTGTAAAAGCTAATTAACTTAATAATAGTGTCATCTCCCGACTCCATCTCACTCAGTATATTTTCCATCACACGCCCCATGCACGACACGATATAAGTCACATCAAACACGAGGTAGCTAGTAGTAGTCCAGACAGGGTTAAATAACATAACACTGAGTCGAGACACAGGGTGGTGAGAGTGATCATGTGAATGAGAGTGGAGGTGGCAGCTTAGGGGATTGCAGAGAAATGTTTCTGTTTCGTGTTTCAACGGCTCATATTGACCGAAACTAGTGTTGCAAACAAAGAGTTTGCAACTCCCTTTGATCTTTACCGACTTCAAGTGGAAACAAAAATTCCTGTTGCAAACACTGAAAAACTGTTTGCAACAGCGAAATGTTTCGTCTAAAAATGCGCGTTTTTAGAGATGTTTGCAATTTCTGTTTGCAACTCGTGTTTCAAACTCCGGTGTAAACGCGGCTTAACGTATCTATTACTATGAAGTTTCAATTGATTTCCAACCTATACTTTAACGCATTGAATAATACTCGTATATTACAAAATACAGTTTGAATAAATTAAAATACTTCTTTATTTGAGGCGAATGTAGGACCACATGACGATTTCTTACAATTAGACTCAGAATTTGTTTGAACTCAAAGACAAAACATACTCCCTATTTTATTTATCATCAATGCGAGTCATGGATCACCTGCTGAAG